TAATTTTATCAAACTTTATTTCTTGTAGTGCTTTCATTATTAATGTTTTAATGACACGTAAGCCCCCAAGGTGCAATAGAAAAGTGATAATGTCATGTTATTATGCATCTGTTGCTGTACTACCGACCATATGAGGAAAACTACTTTGAAGGACTGGATCAGCCCAAAGCCAATACTGGAGTGCAAGCCACTCTACATTGATCCCAGGGGTTCGTTCACATGATACAATTAGAGTGCTATGATTCCACTTTAACTGGTATGATTCTATTTTATAAAATCCTGGACTGGCAATTTTTGTTGTTAACTGCTGTCAAACCATAGGATGGAACCATTGCAGTTCAAATGGAAGGAAGAGGAGGAGAAAACTATACAGTGTGAATAGACCTCAGCTCAAATGACTGTACTTTTATTTCAGCCTGCTTCTAGTCTCTCTTTTGGAAATAATCTGCCATGACCATAGGGAGAAGTGTTGGATAGAATACCAAAAGAGGCCACATTTCTGTTTGTGGTGAATGAGTCAGAGAGACAACTCTCCAAGGCATCTGCCACAATCCAGTCATCACAAGTAAAAGGCATTGTTTATTTAAAAAAGCAGGGAGACTGTCCCTTGTCCTTTCCAGCTTAAACATGGTTGGTATGTGATCAAAAATCCTTTCCTGTTTGACCTGTTTCATATGGTTGTTGTGAAAATAAATTGGGAAGGAGGAGAAGCTTGCATGCCACCATGAGATCTCTGGAAAAAAGAAAGGATATGCAACAAATGAAGGCATAACAATTATATTAAGTTGCCAACTCTGAGGATAAAACTAAGACAGGGTGGAAATCATGCAGCTCTCAGATATTGTTGAACTTCAGTTTTCTAACTCTTGGCTATGCTGGCTACTGGTATTTGCAATTCAACAGCATCTGGAGGGTTGCATGAATCACAGCCCTGGAGAATGATTGTCTACATACTGTCATTGTAGATTATAGAGGTTGTCGTTTGGAGTATGGTGACTCTTGCAGGGAATGAAAAAATAATCAAAACTCTAAATACAGTTTTGTTTGATTCTGAACTGAGCTGCAAACTGTCCTTGTCAACAACAATGGACTAAACGAAGCTTAATCCACACCAGATAGAAAGGTCAGTCAAAAGGTAGATAAGGAATCTGGGATTTAGTCTGTACTAGATTACACTTCCCCTGAAGATGCAAGTTTATTATACTCCTAGACTCAGCCCTAAATCTAGATCCTCAGTGGTTTTAATGGCCAGGTGTGCATTTGCACAGTTATAACACTGCCAACTGCACATGTTTCGATGGACATCTGATTTGGCCTTAATGGCATATGCCATTATATTACCATAATGTGTTTTGAAGCGTGTTAAAAACTTTCAACTGATCCAACTGTGAACCAGATTGTTCAACAGGGCTGATTATAGGGAGCACACAACTCCCTTAATACAACTATAAAGTCCTAAATGGTTCAGACCCAGCCTACTTGAGGGACCACATCTCCTCCTACATGCCCACACAAACCCTGAGACCAACAGGAAAGGCCCTTATCTTGGTTTTTGTTGTATTTTATGTTATGTATTTTTGCCATTTTTAACCATTGTATGCCACCTTGAATCCCACACGTGGGAGAAAAGTGGGATAAAAAATAAATGAATAAATAAGGACGCGGTGGGCGACTGTGCCCTTATGCCAAGAGGACGGAGAAAATGAGACAAGCCTGAGGAAAGCACCCAGGGGGCTACATCCCACCCCTGAGCCTTAGTTTGCCCATGCCTGTTCTACAGTGTAAATCAGGCACGAGTAAACTTTGGCCCTCCAGTTATTTTGGACTTCAACTCCCACAACTACTGGCTGTTAGGGATTGTGGAAGTTGAAGCCCAAAACACCCGGAGGGCTGAAGTTTGTCCATGCCTGATGTATATGCACTCCCAGCGAGAAGTCGGAAACAACTTCAAAGCACCCAACAACAAAGGACTGGTTTTGGAGGAATGTTGCACGCTAAGTGCCCAAAATGTCTCTCAGATTCGCTCCCTCACAACTTGCTTTTTTGAGCTTAAATTATTGTTCTTCATGCTATTGGTTTTATCTTTTATTTTATTGTGTGTTTATGTTATGCGTTGCTTTGGGCACATTGTGCCATATGTAAGCCGCCCCTATTTCCTTTGGGGAGATGAAGGCGAAATACAAAAATAAACTTGTTATTATTATTATTATTATTATTATTATTATTATTATTTATTATTATTATTATTATTCGGAGCTATATAACCCAGAATATCAAAGCAGAAAACCCCACAATATCTGCTTCGAACTGGGTGGTCTGAGTCCACACTGTCATACATTCCAGTTCAGTGGTTCTCAACCTGTGGGTGTTTTGGCCTACAACTCCCAGAAATCCCATCCAGTTTACTAGCTGTTAGGATTTCTTTTATTGATTATTCTAAAGCCATTGAGTGTGTGGATCATAATAAATTGTGGCAAGTTCTTGGTGGTATGGGCATACCAAATCACCTTGTCTCTCTCCTGAGGAATCTGTATAAGGACCAAGTAGCAACAGTAATAACTGACCATGTCACAACAGACTGGTTCAAGATTGGGAATGGTGTACGACAGGGTTGTATACTCTCGCCCAATATATTCAACTTGTATGCAAAACACATCATGCAATGTGCGGGGCTTGATGAATGCAAGGCTGGGGTAAAATTGCTGGAAGAAGCATTAACAACCTTAGATATGCAGATGATACCACTTCGAAGAGTAGCCACTTAATTTCATGCTAGTTCTCCTCCAATGTTCTTGTCCCAGGAGTCCCATCCCACACCCCACACAAAGGTTGGCTTAATTTCCTATCTCTCTATGAGTTTGCCCTTACAATTAGTTCTCCCCCCCTTATCTCACCCGGAGTTTTTAAATCATTTTATGTACATGCAGCCCGCCCTTTGTTTGTCTGCCATTATGCTTAGTTCCTATGTTTTGTGTATATTGTTTATATGCTTTGATGTTTTATATTTTACTGTTATGTTGTTTATTTGATTGCAATTTGTATTGTTATATTGTAATTTTTATTCGGGCTTGGCCCCATGTAAGCTGCTCCGAGTCCCCTTTTGGGGAGATGGTGGTGGGGTACAAATAAAGATTATTATTATTATTATTATTTGATGGCCAAAAGCGAGAAGCTGAGGAGCCTTCTAATCAAGGTTAAAGAAGAAAGCGCAAAAGCTGGGTTGCAGTTAAACATTAAAAAACCAAGATTATGGCAACCAGACTGATTGATAACTGGCAAATAGAGGGAGAAAACGTGACAGGCTTTGTATTTCTAGGTGCAAAGATTACTGCAGATGCAGACTGCAGCCAGGAAATCATAAGAAGCCTACTTCTTGGGAGGAGAGCAATGTCTTGACAAAATAGTGAAGAGTAGAGACTTCACACTGGCAACAAAGATCCTCATAGTCAAAGCAATGGTGTAATAACCTATGGGTGTGAGAGCTGGACCACAAGGAAGGCTGAGCGAAGGAAGATAGATGCTTTTGAACTATGATGTTGGAAGAAAGTTCTGAGAGTGCCTTGGACAGCGAGAAAATCCAACCAGTCCATACTTCAGGAAATAAAGCCCTTGGAGTGAAGGATAGTAGAGGCCAAGATGAAGTACTTTGGCCACGTCATGAGAAGAAAGGAAAGCTTAGAGAAGACAATGATGCTGGGGAAAATAGAAGGAAAAAGGGAAGAGGGGCCGACCAAGGGCAAGATGGATGGTCTTTCTTTCTTCTTTAGGCAATCCCTCATAGTCCGAGGATGATGGTCCTCCAAGGTTGGTGTCCTGGTGGAGGGTCCGTAGGTGACGCCGTACCCACCGCCCATGTGCCAGTCTGTGACTAGGGGCTTCCAGATTTCACAGTCCTGCCCCCGTCGCCACTCGCTGATCACCATGGGACTTTTTGGTTTGTTTTTATTTTCCTTAGAAGACGCCTGTGTGTGAATTTTTTTAATATGTGGAGGTCAGTGCACAACTGATCAATACACAGTCTTCACAGAGTGAGGTTTCACAGGTATAGTTTACCAAGAAGACCGTAGCTTCTCAATCTGTTGCAGCCTTCTTCCACCTTCACAGCGGTTGTAACATGCACCATGTTATCCTCCGCCTACTCTGCCATTGAGGTCTTTGGGTCTTTGGACTGTGCTTGGTCTGGAACCCCCTGGGAGTGCACAACTCCAGTCGTTGTGCCTGCAGGTTCATTGGAACACGCAAGCCCCCTCACCACAAGGTGACAGTCCATCGAGGGAGGCAAGATGGATGGTATCCTTGAAGTGACTGGCTTGACCTTGAAGGAGCTGGGGGTGGTGACAGCCGACAGGGAGCTCTGGTCCATGAGGTCATGAAGAGTTGAAAGCAACTGAACGAATGAACAAGAAGGATTTCTGGGAGTTGAAGGCCAAAAACATCTGAGGACCCACAGACTGAGAACCACTGTTCCAGTTCAAAGCAAAACTGGTGGGATTTCATTCAACTGTGTGGTTGGGGGCTGAGATATCCTTTGGGGAGGAAACTGAGAGGAAAGAGTTAGCAGGCATGGGCAAACTTAGGCCCTCCAGGTGTTTTGGACTTCCTCTCAGTTAGGAATTTGTGGCTGTTAGGAATTTGTGGGAGTTGAAGTCCAAAACACCTGGAGGGCCGATGTTGGCCCATGCCTGCTAACCTTTTCCTCTCAGTTAGGAATTTGTGGCTGTTAGGAATTTGTGGGAGTTGAAGTCCAAAACACCTGGAGGGCCAAAGTTGGCCCAGGCCTGCTAACCTTTTCCTCTCAGTTAGGAATTTGTGGCTGTTAGGAATTTGTGGGAGTTGAAGTCCAAAACACCTGGAGGGCCGATGTTGGCCCATGTCTGCTAACCTTTTCCTCTCAGTTAGGAATTTGTGGCTGTTAGGAATTTGTAGGAGTTGAAGTCCAAAACACCTGGAGGGCCGAAGTTGGCCCAGGCCTGGGTTAAACGAAAAGCCTCCCAGAAGGCGACTTTCCTCATGAGGGGAAATGAAAGCGGGAAAAGCAGGCCAACAAGGGCTTCCCCTTCGAGGCCAAGGGGAAAAAATGCTCCTATCAGTTCCCTCCAGCAGCTGGAAAGCTTTTTCACACAGAGGTCTCCTCCTCCTCCTCCCCGTCGAAGCGAGTGAATGGAGGGAGGGAAGCGAGTCTGACTGAGGGGGAGAGAAGGAAGCCAGCCAGGCAGGCGACGCCATGTCCTCCCCCAAGAAAGGCTTCCACCGCCAGGAGATCACCAAGACGGTGTGGGAGGTCAGGGAGCGCTACCGGGAGCTGCAGGCGGTGGGCTCCGGAGCCTATGGCGCCGTTTGGTGAGTCCGAGGGGGAGGAAGGGAATGGGGGAGGGAGGGGGAAAGAAGAGAGGAGGCCACGCCTGATCCTCCCCCAGTGGGTCTCTTTGGGGCTCTGTCCCTGGGAAAAGGGGAAGAATTGGACCATTGGGGCATCTACACTGCAGAATTAACGCAGTTTCACGTCCCTTTCGTGTGAGCCACTCTCTCTCAGCCTCAGCACTGGCTTCCAAGGCGCAACTCCACTACCAACTGGGCATTCTCACTTTTCAAATCGCCTCAGGCTCAAATGTGTCCCATCACAACAATAAACAACACGAATGCTGGTTTTGTAGGGGTTGGAGATCCTGAATTGACCTCAAATATGCTTCTTCAGAAGGTTACACCAAAAAAAGGGGGAGGATGCTGGTTTTGTAGGAATTTAGCATTTTAACGACCCCATAAAACGAGTGCTTCTCAATCTTCCTAATGCCTGGACATGTTGGAGTTGGAGGTACTGGGATTTATAGTTCACCTGCCATCAAAGAGCGCTCTGAACCCCACCAAAAAGGGAATTGGACCAAACTTGGCACACAGAGCCATCACGACCAACAAAAAATACTGAATTTAAATTTTAAACTATTACATTTGGCCCGGCCATAGGTTTTTTTTAAATCTGTGTGTTACTGTTTATTGGTTATTGTTTACATGTGATTTATATTAATTGTATTGTATTTGTTGTTTTTGTTTATTGCTTTTGTTTATTGATGTACTGTTGGGCTTGGCCTCATGTAAGCCACCCTTGGGGAGATGGTGGCGGGGTATAAATAAAGTTTATTATTATTATTATTATTATTATTATTATTAAGGTCGTTGGGGGAAATTCATCTTGATTTGGGTGAGTTGTAGTTCACCTACATCCAGAGAACACTGTGAACCCAAATACTGATGGATCTGGACCATAGGTTTTTTAAAATCTTTGTGTGTTACTGTTTCTTGGTTATTGTTTACATGTGATTTATATTAATTGTATTGTATTTATTGTTTTTGTTTATTGCTTTTGTTTATTGATGTCTTGTGGGCTTGGCCTCATGTAAGCCACTCCGAGTCCCTTGGGGAGATGGTGGCGGGGTATAAATAAAGTTGTTGTTGTTGTTGTTATTATTATTATTATTATTATTATTATTATTATTAAGGTCATTGGGGAAAATTCACCTTGATTTGGGTGAGTTGTAATTCACCTACATCCAGAGAGCACTGTGAACCCAAACACCGATGGATCTGGACCACACTTGGCACACATACCTGATATGTTGCAATTTGATTACTGGAGGGGTTTGGAGTGAAACCGACCTTCCTTTCTGGGAGTTGTAGTTCACTTCCAACCAGAGCAACGGTGTCCTCCACCGATGATGGACCTGAACTAAACTTGGCATCCAGAAGCCCCATGACTAATTCAACCTACTGGAGGGGTTTGACCCACCATAGTGCAGTGGTTCTCAACCTTCCTAATGCCTTGACCCCTTAATACAGTTCCTCATGTTGTGGCGACCCCAACCATAACATTATTTTCATTGCTACTTCATAACTGTAATTTTGCAACAGTTATGAATTGTGATGTAAATATCTGCTAAGCAGGATGTATTTTCATTGACTGAACCCAATTTGGCACAAATTTCCGATACACCCCAATGAATGAAAATACATCCTGCATATCAGATATTTGCATTATGATTAATAATAATTCAAAAATTGCAGTTATGAAGTAGAAACGAAAATATGTTATGGTTGGGGGTCACCACAACATGAGGAACTGTATTAAGGGGTTGCAGCGTTAGGAAGGTTGAGAACCACTGCGCTATGTTGAGTCAGTCCCTTCAAACCCCTCCAGTAGGGTGAGTTAGTCATGGGGCTTCTAGATGCCAAGTTTAGTTCAGATCCATCATCAGTGGAAGTGGAGCCCCCGGTGGCGCAGTGGGTTAAACTCTTGTGCTGGCAAGACTGAAGACTGACAGGTCACAGGTTCAAATCTAGGGAGAGCGTGGATGAGCTCCCTCTATCAGCTCCAGCTCCTCATGTGGGACTTGAGAGATGCCTCCCACAAGGATGGTAAAAACATCAAACGTTGTCCCCTGGGCAACGTCCTTGCAGACGGCCAATTCTCTCACACCAGAAGCGACTTGCAGTTTCTCCTGACACGACCAAAAAATCGGTGGAAGTCACCTATTGTGAGTGAATTACAACTCCCAGAAAGGAAGGTCAGTTCCCCCCCAACCCCCCCACCCGCTCCAGTAATTAAATTTCAACATATCAAGTATGTGTGCCAAGTGTGGTCCAGATCCATTGGTGTTTGGGTTCACAGTGATCTCTGGATGTAGGTGAACTACAACTCCCCCAAATCAAGGTGAATTTTCCCCAACAACCTCTAGTATTTTTTTGTTGGTCATGATGGCTCTGTGTGCCAAATTTGGTCCAATTCACTTTTTGGTGGAGTTCAGAGTGCTCTTTGATGGCAGGTGAACTATAAATCCCAGTACCTATAACTCCAAAATGTCCAGGCTAATTTCCCTCAAAACCTACCAGTTTTCAATTTGGGCATATCGTGTATTCATGCCAAGTTTGGTCCAGATCCATCATTGTTTGGGTTCATAATGTGCTCTGGATATAGATGAACTGCAAATACAACACTAGAAATTGGTTCAAAACCATTAAAACAAATTGCACTGGAGGATCAAGTTAATCACAACTAAGTAAGAACCACATTGATTGGGAAAAAAAACAAATTTCTGAAAGAACTGTGCATGGTGCAATGTTTCTCTGTGTGTGTGTGTGTGTTCAAATTCAGCTTTCCAAAATACTCTTAAGGAAAGATATAGTTTTGGAAAACTGTTTTCATTGCAGGCCTGTGTTATTACTCTCATTTAAAAAAATACTAGTATAAACTTTTAGTGGATCAAAATAATGTAAATCTGCAGTTATATATGTGTTGAAGAGCTTGTTTTATGCATGTAAACGTTGTACTGGACAACAGGCCATGTGCAAGGAAATAAATATTTGGGGCGATACAAGGAAATGCTTCATCTCATCCCAGCACACCCACTTCCCTGAAAATGTCTTGCCTTGAGCCCATCTGGAAGTGACTCACTATTTTGCTTTGTTGACTGTATTTCAGAGAACTTCCTGCTGGGGAGAAAAAGTAGGAAGCAATGTTCCTTATGGGAAATGAGTTCCCAATGTTTTATTATAAAATCTTATTAATGAGAGGTTTTCACTGTTTTAAAAGAAACTGGAAAAGAAAAAAGAGAGAGAAGAAGAGTTCAAGTCTTTTTATCAGCAGCTATAGTTCCATAACTTACTATTTATTTATTTATGACATTTCTACCCCCACCTTCCTCACCCTGGAGGGGACTCAAGGTGGTTTAACACACAGGCAATTATTTGATGACTTAAAACATAATGTACACTTAAATAAATATTAAAATAGAATTAAAAAGTACACTAAAACAATTAAAACATTTTAAAACAATACATTCAGAGTTCAACACGTAATCCACGAGCGTAATCCGGGCCGTTCCAATGGTCATTGCACATTGTTCCAAGTCTATCTATTGCACAAGTTCTCTAAAGGCTTGGTCACAAAGCCACGTTTTCGCTCTCTTGCAGAAGGTCAGGAGGGAGGGGGTTGATCTAATATCTCTAGGAAGGGAGTTCCACAGCCAATGGGCCACCACTGAGAAGGCCCTGTCTCTCGTTACCACCAATTGCACCTGCGAGGGAGGCGGGACCAAGAGCAGGCCCCCCTCAGATGATCTTAAGCTCCAAGATGGTTCATAGGGAGAGATCAGTTTGGACAGGTAAGCTGGGCCAGAACCATTTAGGTTCATACCTAAATGGTTTTCCTACCTCCTTCTCTGCCATTTAAACAAATTCTCTTTCAAATCCTTTCAGACATCAAAACCATTCATTTTCCCTTTCCATCAAGTCCATAAAAGGTTTCCAATTTTTAAAATAGTAAAAAAAGTTACCTGTTGTTTATCCCCAGTCCAAGAAATCAGTTACCAATTATGACAAGTTTTGTTTTAATGTCTTCCATGCTGCTTTTTACTCCATACATTCAGTTATCTCATCTCTACAACATTATAAAAAATCCCTAGCCTCCTACACCAACAATGTAGCATTTTAAAAGAAATCATTCTCTAATGTCTGACTATCTTATAATTTCCATTTTTAACATTATTCTGAATTAATTCAGCCCATTTGTGGGATTGATAGCATGTTGATGTTGTTTTGCTGTTAGGCTTCTTTTTTTCTGTATTGTCAAAGGCAAGTGAGTTTTATATATCTGTGGAATGTCCAGGGTGGGAGAAAGAACTCTTGTCTGGTTGAGGCAAGTGTGAATGTTGCAAATGGTCACCTTGATTTGCATTTAATGGCCTTGCAGCTTCAGAGCTTGCCTGATTCCTGCCTGGGGGAATCCTTTGTTGGGAGATTTTAGCTGGCCCTGATTGTTTCTTTTTTCCTGTTGTTCTAACAAATCAAATTCACTGTACTTTTGCACTTCACCTGCTGGATTTTCACCTCTTGTATATATGTCAAATGTCAAAGAGGACACTTATGGAGAATGTTGTGTGTGTGTGTGTGTGTATGTATCAGTCTTCATGGTGAGGATGGAAAGTTGGAGGCAAAATTTCTGGGAACTGTTAATGATGAGGAGACACATTGGAAGAATAAAATGCAAGAGACGGACAGCTGTCAGATATGGAGTTGTGCACAAGGGCCTGCAGGGAAGAGATAAGCTTCTTTTTAATGCATTCAAGTGCTTTTGAGCTGTATAGTTGGGCAGTTCCTTGCATTCCTTTTGTCCCACAGAGAATTACTAAGACATCTGCCTGTCCGTCAATGCCAGACCACCCATTAGGTGGAACGAAACTGCTGTCTCAGGCAGCAGATTTGAGTACTGTATATTGAAAAACCAACCAATTTGTTGGTACAGTATTCTAATTTTACCACCACAAGAGAAAGAGGTGTTTGGGGGATTGTGTTTGATATGCCAACGTAACTTGGCCAGCTTTAAGTACATGACACTTTGACTTAACTGTGTGGGGAAGGTGTCATTTGTGGCTTTGCTTCACGTGGTTAAATAACTTTTCAGCCCCAACAGCCATATGAAGACAAGTAAGAAAAAACAGGATATTTACCATAAAGATTTAGATATGGTTTGCTCTGCTATACATTTTTTCACAAGATCATTTTTTATTGTAAATAATCTTGTGAAAGTTTGTCCTGAATGATGGGGCTGAAATAACTTGAATGAAGGTATAGAGAATGTTGATTTAATACCGAACATTAAGAACATAAAACAGCTATACTGGTTCAAAACCAAGACCCATCACATCCAGTGTTTTGTTCCCATTGCCACCAAATTGTTGCTTCTGGGACCCGTATTAGAACAAGAGTACAACAATATAGCGTAACATGCAACAGTATATTAAAATAGATTCTTCATACTGAGTCAGAGCCATGTTCCGCCTAGTTAAAATTTGACTATAACAGGAATGAGGAACTACTTTGGAGTGGAGTCTAGATAGCATTCTCTCACCTCATGAGGAACTAATGGGCTTGGCCACAGCCACAGATGTTACTGCATCCCTGTCTGAAGTTGTTTGTTTTTTTTTAAGCGACTGAGTAAACTGCAGGTCGCTTCTGGTGTGAGAGAATTGGCTGTCTGCAAGGACATTGCCCTTGAGACGCCCAGATGTTTTACCATCCTGTGGGGGGCTTCTCTCATGTCCCCACCAGGGAAGATGGAGCTGACAGACAGGAGCTCATCCCATCTCATGGATTCGAACTGCCGACCTTCAGGTCAGCAGTTCAGCCAGCACAAGGGTTTAACCCATTGTGCCACCATGGCTCCCTTCTGTCTGAAGTGTCAAGTGGAGATTTTTTTTTCTTCCTTCTCCTCCTGCAAAGGTTGACAAAGTGAAAGGAGGAGCAAAGTGTTCTTAGTAGGTGCCTGCATGTGTTGTCTCAGATCTAAATCACGTGGCATCAGGAAACACCAGTGGAGAGGGAGAAAAGGAATTCTTGCTGTCTCTGATAACTGTCTACATGAGTAGTTCTCAGCCTTCCTAATACTGTCACCCTTTAACACAGTTCTTCATGTTGTGGTGACCCCCCGACCATAAAATTATTTCCATTGCTACTTCATAACTGTAATTTTGCTACTGTTTTGAATCGTAATGTAAATATCTGATAAGCAGGATGTATTATCATTCACTGGACCAAATTTGGCACAGATACCCAATACGCCCACATTTGCATACTGCTAGGGTTGGGGGGTGTTGATTTTGTCATTTGAGAGTTGTAGTTGCTGGGATTTATAGTTAACATACAATCAAAGTGCATTCTGAACTCCACCAATAGAATTGAACCAAACTTTGCACACAGAACTCCCATGACCAACAGAAAATACTGTGTTTTCTGATGGTCTTTTACGACCCCTCTGACACCCCCATGTGACTCCCCCAGGGGTCCTGACCCCCAGGTTGAGAAACACTGTTCTACATGGACTAAATCAATCGTACATAGAAGGTGCTATCCCAATGCACAACACTTGTGGTGATTCACATCCCAACTGACTATTTGGTCTTTAACCTCCTTCTAAAAGAGTTGGCTTTTACCAATGAGGTTCTTCATCTAGTATGTGTAGCCAGTGAAGTTTCTGCAACAACAGAGTTTTACTCACCCTGTAGCCAGGCCATTTTGCAGTCTGGGTGCACCTGTTTGAACCAGTTGAAGTTTCTGAACACTCCTCAAAAGCAGCCCCTTTGCAGAGTTCATTGCAGTAATACAACAGGGATGAAACTAAGGCAAGTGCCACCACAGCCAAATCTGACATTTAAAGAAATGGCTACTGTAACTGACTGGAATCTGCCTGTCCCTCCTAATAAACAAATAGACAAATAAAATATTATTTTATTGAAATTATGTCTACAGGTTGAGAAGTACCTTCATTCACGCAACCACCTTTATTTATTTACACATAATATCCCAGTGAAGCACACATACATATTCCTGTTCTGGCCAGAATTGTGGAGCCAGGAACTGATTTTTGTCAGCTATTCTTACTTAATTGCTTGTCCTTTGTCCCCACTAAATGTGTTGTCCCTTTTCTGAGATATGTAATCCTTCTGCCAAGCTCTAATTCACAGACATTCTGTTTCCATTTCCTTTAAGCTCAGCTACTGACAGGAAAAGTGGAACTAAAGTGGCTATCAAGAAGTTGTACCGTCCGTTTCAATCGGATCTTTTTGCCAAACGAGCCTACCGGGAATTGCGGCTCCTCAAACACATGAAGCATGAAAACGTGAGTACTAAGACTTACAGACTTCTTTCCCTTTCCTTATTATCTCTTTCACAGTGTGACTAGGCATATAACTATAAAATGTTCAGGAGTTACTGATCTTTTTTCTAACACATTCTCGTATGTTTATTCATAGGTGCACATATGTCTGTGAATATTTTCATATTTCTTCTCATAACCTTGCCATTCATGGGAAAGAGGGCTTGCTTTCTTTGAACATCTATCCTTTTAGGATCCAAGCTAATTGAGAGTGGAGGAATTATGGTAGCAGTTCCTATTACTGTGGGGCATTTTCATGTGAGTGCATGTCAAGAGGATGAAAACATTATGTAGGCTGTATCCTACAGAAGGGTAAGCAAGTTGGAGATTTAGCAGAATTGATGTGAGTTTAATTTAAGTTGATAGTTCAGTAGGCTTTTTGAAATCTCAGGGGAGATAGGCAGTAATGTAGAACACATTAAGAAAAAGAGGTCGAGAGCTGAGGAGATGCAGATTAGGATGAAATATATTGGGGACATTTTTCCTCTCCCATTTCCAGTCATTATGTTAATTTAAAGAAACATCAGTGTCTAAATACCCTAAAGGCATTATATACTGTCTAATTCTTAGAAACTAAGCAAGCTCAACCCTGGTTAATAGTTGGATGGGAAGCTGTAGCTATATTTTAGAGGAAGGAACTGTCAAGACCACCTCTGAGTATTCCTTTTTTTTTTTTTTTAATTTTCTTTATTGGGGTTTTTCATAGTATATACATACATCGGGGGTAGTGGAGAGATAGGGGGTATGGGTTAAGGTTAGTAGTGTAAGGGGAGGGTTGAGGGGTGAGGGGGTGAGGGGAGAGGAAGGTGTTGGGAATTGGGATGGGGGAAAGGAATTCCTTAACTAAGAAAACCCTGTGAATGTGTTGTCGAAGGCTTTTATGGCCAGAATCACTGGGTAGCTGTGAGTTTTCCGGGCTGTATAGCCATGTTCCAGAAGTATTCTCTCTTGCCATTTCGCCCACTTCTATGGCAAGCATCTTCAGAGGTTGAGGGGTCTGTTGGGAACTTGGAGAATGGGGTTTATATATCTGTGGAATGTCCAGGGTGGGAGAAAGAACTCTTGTCTGTTTGAGGCTGGTGTGAATGTTTCAATTGGCCACTTTGATTAGCATTTAATGGCCGGGCAGTTTCAAGGTCTGGCTTTTTACTGCCTGGGGCAATCCTTTGTTGGGAGGTGATTAGCTGGCCCTGATAACTTCTTGTCTGGAATTCCCATTTTTGAGTGTTGTTCTTTATTTACTGTTCTGATTTTTGAGGGTTTTTTAAATACTGGTAGCCAGATTTTGTTCATTTTCATGGTTTCTTCTTTCCTGTTGAAATTGTCCACATGCTTGTGGATTTCAATGTTTCTCTGTATAGTCTGACATGGTGGTTGTTAGAGTGGTCCAGTATTTCTGTGTTCTCAAATAATATGCTGTGTCCAGGTTGGTTGATCAAGTGCTCTGCTACAGCTGACTTCTCTGGTTGAAGTAATCTGCAGGACCTATTGCTGCAGACTACTTGTTGCCATTGTTACCATTGCTACCATGTTACCATTGATGGCATCTTAAAATCAAATATAGACATTATTCCAAAAGTTATATTTTTTGTGATATGTTTCCTGGAATACCCCAAACAGCATGGTCATTGGCTATGCTGGGTCTGAAATTCTGGTAGCTGTTATTTCAAAAAGGATTTTCCCCAAACATTGGCTATATTCTTATCGCTGCTTCTTAAGGCAACATACTTTGCCCAGTTATCAAACTTCTGAATTCAGCAAGCCAGTTTCTGTTTGAAGAAGAGCAAGTGTGCTCAGCTTTCAAATGGATCCAAGTAAACCTGTCCGCTCAGCATTCCTTGAAAGGTTTCAGAAATGATAACTTCTCCATTGATGATAAACTTTCTATCTTTCCCTCTTGTCCCCTAGTATCTCTTTAATGAAGAAAGAGGGTGGGTGGGGGTGGGGGGGTGGGGGTGGGGGTGGGGGGGGCAGGCATACACAGCAGCAACATAAATAGTGGGGAAGGTTAGATTCAAATGTTTTTCTTGTACTTTGAGGGTTCTGAACTCCAAACCTTTGCAAAAATTGAGAACCTAGTGTACAAGAACATAAATGCTGCCTACAAAAACCAGACATGTTATGAGATTTAATGCACAACAGCTGTAGTCTCTTTTTATAAGGCAAAAACATGGATGATGTTCTGTGACTGTCAGAACTACTTGACTTCTCTACTGATCTTTAATGCATAACACTCAAGGATAAATTGCTTAAACATGAGAGAAATGCCCTTATTATATATCTGTTTATTCAGAATCTGAGAGTGTTGTTGGCACAGCATATTTTACTTCAAAACAACCTTTGCTACATATAAATTAGTCTTCAGATAAGCTTGCCAAGGTGCAGATAAATGGACAGGATCCTAAAGTATACCTCTTGTTAATCTCACTCCTTCCTCCCACAGCTTCCTATTCATCCCCCACAGCCCTCAAAAATCCCCTGGGTTAAATTCTTGGACTCTCCATAAGTCAACTGGCTACTTGAAGACACATGTACATATATTTATATTTGGGAAAACTGAATACTATAATAGGGAAGAAATTCACACTAATGATGGATAGATACTCAAGAGCACCATTGAATCTTGATTATGGTTTCAAAATAAAGCAATTTTGTGTTAAGAAAATGAGGTGTTCTCTGGTGCCATTTTTTTGCCCTGCCTTTTTCATTAGACTTCTTTGTTCTTCTCATCGTTCACTACTAGTAGTTGTACCACTGCTTTTTCCCATTTATTTTCCACCTTTTCTCCAATTCTGGGTCTCAAGATGCTTTATAGAATATTAAAACCTCCAGAATAAAAACTAACACAACAGTAAAAATATTTTTAAAAAAAATCAGTACAAATCTATGGGATTAAAGCCATTAAAATTTGATGGATATAAGAAAAGAACACATAATCAAGAGCCCATTGTAATCAATCCTTGTAAGTGTATTGTAATAGGAATGTTTGGTCCCATTGCTTTGCTACTCAAGCAAAGGAATGGGACCAAATTAATCACAGTTCTTTTAAAACAACAGATTAAAGCATAATAAATAACTTGAGCCCTCAAGTGTTGTTAGACTTTGGTTTCTCAATCAAGCTGTGTTGCACTCCAGACCTGGAAACACCTATGACCACCACACCATACAAAAGTCCATGAATATAAGCAGTTTATTGTAAAGCACATAAAAAACATAAAAAAGCAGGAATAAGAAAAGAAGATATATAATCCAAAAAGGTTTAGCAACAGGTGATAACCAAACAATAATCCTAATGTCTCATAAAGTTCCAGAGGTGAAAAAGTCCAGGAACAGCCAGAAATCACAGGTTCAGCATAAGCCCACAAGCAAGAAGGTATAACTAGTAAAAAAAAACTTGAATAGGAGTGCATGAACAAAACCATAGAAAACTTCCGGAATATTAAAATCCAAAACTAAGGCTTGACTTGAACCAAGAACAAGAAAACTCATGCTTAGCTTCTCATTCTAATGCAGTATTGCCTGAACTGCCCTTAAGGTAAACAACTTGTTGTTTAATAGACACTCATAAAAGCATTATGTCTCCCATGAATTTTCTCCCTAACTTTCCCATGTAATCTCTCAGACCTGCATAATCTGTTTTTGGCTCTGATTTGTAAACAAAGACTTTTGTTGATCTCCGAAGCTACAAGTAATTTCTCCTGGGAACACTCCTTATCACACAAGTCTTCACTCGATTCCTTATCTGTTGTTGCTACTTCTGACTCCTTGGACTGGCCTTGAGGCCCTACACTTTTTGAGCCAATTTTCTCACAGAAAGAAACATCATTTCCAAGATCTGAATTTCCCAGACTTGAGCCCCATCACTTTGTGCCACAGGAAAGCCCACAATCCTCTAAATCATCAGTTAAACCATCAGTCTCTGGCTGATCTACAACAGACTAACTGGTGGGCAGGGATTCTTGGAGCTATAGTGCAATGACATCTAAGGATCCATGATCACTATAATCGAAGTACTTTAGCAATTTTTGAAATTAATAAGCCACTGTCTCCACTTCTAATGTTGTCACCAATTAGACACATTCATTCCTGGTTTCAATTAACTAAAAGTTAGCATTAAACAAATATGTTAAATATAGTTAATCTCAACTATTCTTTTTAAATAAACTTCTTCAGACAATAGATCTGAAGTTGGTTTTCCCCCAATAGACCATTGTTAAATCTACATAACTATAATTCATCTTGATTTGATCATAACACAAACCTGCAGTTAGTTAAAAATGGAAGCAAATATTCCAATTTTCTCAAGGTCATACCAGAAAAGGAGAGGAGAAGGGGCAGTTTATAAGACCTAAGCCAGTTCACATAAGATACACCATTTTTGGCACTGCCTTCAATCACCCTTTTTTCCACCACATAAACAGCAATAGCTTCTTATACAATAAACAAAACAAGCATTTAAGTCAAAGTATCAGATATCTGTTAACTTTGTAGAAGTAATGTTATGGGAGTTGAAACATTTATGGTTTCCTTCATTCCTGTGGCAATGAAATTTTATCCAGTTTTTATTTACTGTGTTTAAATGTTGACATGTATGGTTGTGAATCAAGGTACTTTGGGAACAGAGAGTGTTATCTTGATCTCAGTATTCAGCTCCATTGAAAAGAATCATTTTTATTGTCTTAGCCATTTTGTAATATTACTGCTCTAGCAAATGGTTAGGATTATCATTGTATTTACACACCAGTAAGCAGAATGTTTTTTCGTATTCCCATTGATATTAACCCTTACACTATTAGCTTTCTGCAAGCTGTTCCCTATGAATATTCATGCCAATAGCTAGTTAGTGTCCTAAGGTGTTAAAGCAGGGTTTTCCTGCAAATTAATTCACAGAGATTTTTATACTATGGATTAGTTCCAAAGGTACCTTCAGAAAAACAGTAATAATTAAAATCCACTAATCATGAAGGCCCTGAATCCCTTAGGGTTGGCTTTAGAAGGGCTAAAAAAGGGAAGAAGGAAGAAACCTGTATTCTGCAATGACAACTTTTTCTCAGTGGCTAGGATCCAGCCTTCAATATGAGATGCAGAAATATTACTATTGTGCCATTGTTTACCTAACCCAGGCCTAAGGATCATTTGATCCCCCAAAGGTTTTGGAATACAATTCCCATATCTTATACCATTGTCCATGATGGTTGAAATCTGCTGGGAGCTGACTTTGAGAATTTCTGGACTTTCACACTGGTGGCCCTGGGTTCAGTTATCAGTATTTCTTTTGAGAATGATTGCATCCACTTGTCTTGGGCAGGAAGAATTGTAGAATGATGATCTTCTTTTCCTAATGTGTCTTCCTTTCCTCTTTCATAGGTAATTGGATTACTGGATGTTTTCACCCCAGATCCATCACTGGATAAATTTAATGACTTGTAAGTTTTTATTTTTTACGGAACAGTTTGGACTTTATGTTAGAATTTGTGTTTCTCTCACAGGTTCCATGGGAAGTGGTTGTTTTTTAAAGATCTCTCCTTAGCATTTGGATCAGCATAATTTTTCAAAAAGATAGGTTCCAGTGGCTGTAAGGACTCACCTCTGGCATTGCGGAAGTCACTCTCCACAGGCCCAATACCTCATTAGGCCCAGACCTTTCAGGAAGTCCTGGATCTAATGAAGTATTTAATTAATATGGAATAAACCCCAGAAACCTTTTTTATTCCATATGAATCCGCTTTTACCAAGACAGGTCCTGCATTTTGGGCCTAGATGGAGCCAAAGTGCCATGGCCTCATCCTGTGGAATCCTGGGATTTGTAGCTTGTTGTGGCACCAGAGCTCTATGACAGAAGAGTAAATATTTTGCAAAATTATAAATTCCAGGCTTCCAAGCCATTATAGTTAATGTGGTGTCAAACTGCTCTAATTCTGCAGTGTGGATACATCTTGACAAGGCACCTGCCCTGATGCTGATTTGGAGTGGGCCTCTTCGGATAGTCATTGGAAGTATCTACACTGTCAAGTTCTGAGCTGACTTGGTTTCTGCATGGCAGCTTCACTAGCAGCCCTTAAACCAGCACAGTGGGACAAGTTATTGACTACATCTACTGCTGTCATTTCCCCCTTTCCCCCCACTTTATATGCTGATTCATATCTTGGTAGGGAAATGGGGGGGAAACCTGTATTCCTCATCACCTGCTGAGTCATGGATACTGCAGATTCTGAAACCAGTTTGAGGCCATCTTCCGTTGTTAATGTAATTGCCTTCCTGGCCTGCTCCAGAAATGTCAGTGTAATCATCTGCACAGTGAAACTGTTTTATTCCAAACCAATTTGGCCCTTGGTGTATAAAAGCTCTTGGTTAAGTCAGTGTTCCATAAATTACATTGGTTCAATGACAGTACAGTTGGAAGCAACAATTGCATTAAGTCCTCCCCCATTTTGGTTTTAAGTCCCTTGCCAACACCTTGTTAAAGAAAACTGTCCACTGTCAATCAGAAACAAAGGCTGGATCTACACAGCCATCATCATCATCATCATCATCATTACCCTGCTTTATCTCCCCAAAGGGGACTCCAACCAACTTGACATAAAATATACAAATATACAAAAAAAAAGCAGAATTAAACACAAACAGCAGTTTTTAAAAATTCGGTTAAAGAATTCAGTCATATAATTCAGTTTCAGAATGCGGATTAAGTGTAGATCCAGGCAAAGATAATTCTAGCGAAAAATCCTTAATTTAAAACAATGGCTACTGCCTTCCAAAATCTTTAGAATTAGCACTCTACCAAATGGTTGCTGGCCAGTAGCGTGAGACATATTTTCCATTTATGTTCCTTTAATTGTTGATGTTTTAGCAATGTATCCTTTTATACATTCTGTTTCCCCCTCTTGTTTCTTTTTTTCTGAAATGGAAATCAGCATTTAAATTTTATATAGGTGATGTCTGTTTTTAATTTTGCATATGGAATTCTTTTTATTGTTAAATACATATGCAGTAATATAAATGATAAACATTTTTATTTTAAAACCTAGACTTCGGATGCCGCTTCAACAAATGACTCTTGCTAACTACCTGTGTGTTGTCAGACCAATTAGTGAGCTATTTCCATTTGGCTTTGAAATATTCATGAGTTTCAGCAAATTAACTGTAATAAAATCACAGGGGAGAGTGCACATTTATGTTTTCATTTGCTGAAGATGATCAGCCATCTGAAGATTAAATTTGGCTCTGAGCTCAGCCAGTTTATTGATCAGAAAGCTTTGTTTGTTTCCTCTGCTCTAAATATAGCCTTAAGAAGCCAAACGTGTTCTGTCCTTTGCATCCCTTATTACCTAGTCAATCATTTTCATGTGGATTGCTGTGCTTCCACTTTGATGAGTTCAGGCTAAAGTTTGTGTAACAGCCTAAGGCAATTGTATGTATATTCAGGATTCATTAAAGTACACTAAATTCAATAGAACATAGTTGTAAATAAACATCTAGACCTGCGGCTTATAAGTCAGTGTGACATCTGAATGTAATAGAAATGTGAAAGGATTTCTCTAACATTCACTTTGATTTTAGGAACTGATTTTTTAAAAAAATGATGTTCCCTTGTTTTTATCAATTTTTAGACATTTTCAAAACTTTCTATCTTCAGTAATGACAGAGTTGTCAAGTAGCAGCTCAAATTGGGGTTTCCTGCCTGGTTTTCCCTACTCTGTACATGCCAATTCTAGGGAGACTGTTGAAAACTAGGTGGATTATGCGAGATGGGCTAAATTTGCCCTATTATGTGAGTTGAAGTGTTTTTGCAGTTGTACTGGACAGCTTTGAATCAATGGCATTTTCTTCTGTCTCTCAATCTACATAAAAAAGTATTACAAAAGGGAGGCCTTGGCTTGACTTCTCTTAGTGACTTATACTTGTATAATAAAAGGCTTCCACAAACATAAGTGTTTGAGGCACCCCTGCACAATGTTTTCCATAGTTATTGCAGTTGGATAGCAGCCAAGGTTAAGTTCTGTTTTCAAAACAGCTATTGACTGGCCACAGGGCACTTGGAGAACTTCCTCATATTGTAGGCTGCTTCCACACAGGCCTTTAACCAGTGCCCAACCGGGTTTAAGAAAACCGGTTGGGCACAGGTTAAAGTCCCCACAATTCTCCCCAAAACCCATGCTTTCCTGGGGTGGGGTCTAGATGCCCTGCCTGACCTTCCAGCAGTGCATCCAGAAACCAAATAAAACTGCAGGATTACCCACATTATGAGCCTTGCCTGGATGGGCCCATAATCTCGTGTTGGCCATTCCTGCCTTTCTTCACTGTAAATCTGAGTTTTCTTAGTTGTCATACAAAATGCATGTCTTTCTTTCTATGAAATTTCTTTCCCAGCCATTAATGTTCTGGAAAAGACCTGCCAGAAAGAATTCTTATTTCTACTGAATCAATCCATTTTTTTAATTGATAACTAGTTTAAAAAAGGAATCCAGCTGTAATGACATCATTTCAAATTGATATTTCTCTCTTAATTCCTGTAATGTGTTTAAGAAAATTTGGGGAAAAATGATAGATAAATGGATAGATTGTGACCAATTTAAAAATATCTCTTATTAGTGAAGGCTTCTGAAAAGAGCAACTCATTTGGGAATCTATTTTGTATCACTATTTTATCTGGTTAAACAATTAACAGAAAATATTATATTTGTAACATTCATGCTATGGTTTCACCTTTATGGGTTTATAATGTTTTGAATCTGTGTTCTTTTTCTATTAGCTACCTTGTCATGCCATTTATGGGAACAGACTTGAGTAAAATAATGAAGCATGAAAAGTTAACTGAAGATAGAATCCAGTTCCTAGTCTATCAAATGTTAAAGGGCCTAAAGGTTAGTCATCTCCATTGTTGTTGTTGATGATGTTATTGATACACTGATATTTTCCTAACAGCCCATGCTGACATTGCTATAGTTCGCCTTCCACACAAAACCCATGGTTTGATTTTATCTCAGTATAGAGTGTCTTCCAAACTGGTACTAATCAGGATTGCTTGTGTAAACTTAATTTGAAATGAGGTTTGAAGCAATAATGGTAAATCTTTGATCTAAAAAATACATTTTATTTTCAAGGTGCAATATTGAGCTAGGTTCTCTCTTAAGCAAGGTTTACATTACTGACTTAAATGTGTAGTAGATTGAAATGCAAGAACAGATTTTCCTTAAACCAATTTTGGGACATAAAATTTAAAGAGTAATAGTTCTATTTATCATTAAATTTGCTGCAGTTTAGTTGAGGATCACACACATAGCTTTCACATGTAAACTCCTATCAGGCAGGTAGGGAGAGTGAGAGGACTGGAAGAAAAGAAGGAAGAGAGAGCAGAGAAATTGATTTGGTCTCCCTATGCTCAATAGTTTCTTTTATAGAGCTTTGTATGGTTACTGTTGGCTCAGAAGCAGACACTTTTTGCTGGATTTTAATAGTTCTGTGATATATACCATATATACTCGAGTATAAGCTGATCTGAATATAAGCCAAAGCACCTAATTTTATCACACAAAAAATGGGAAAACATATTGACTCGAGTATAAGCCGGGGGTGGGAAATGCAGCAGCTACTGGTAAATTTCAAACAAAAATCGATACTAATAAAATTACATTAATGAGGCATCGGTAGGTTAAATGTTTTTGAATATTTAAAAAAATGGTAATTTAAAATAAGACTTTCCAGCTCTGATTAAATAATAATAAAGAGAGTAAAATAATAAATGTAATAATAATAATAACAACAGGGTAAAATAAAAAAGAACTTTGACTCAACTAGAAGCCGAGGAGGGCTTTTTCAGCCTAAAAAAGGGCTGAGAACTCAGCTTATACTTGAGTATATATGGTAGTTTAAAAGGCTCACTGTGAATGAAGTATGATTGCAGATTGATTTGATGTGCTGACTAAAAATATTTTTTCCTGAGGCAATGGTATCCATTCTTAGATAAAAGACATTTGCATACATAGAAAAAGAAAGAAGGCATATGAGATGTTAATCTACATGCCAAATTTCAATACTACATATTTTTTTGCTCTTTCTCATATGATCTCTCCCTGCCCACTACCTAACCCCAGCCCAATCAGATCCAAGTGCCTTATGTAACTCATGTGCTCAGTGCAAATGGAAGAATGAAAAATAAAGGAGAGTATTTATCTTGTCATCAGCTGCACTTCGTAACTTGGCTTAACTGGTATTTACTCTAAGCCAAGCAATCAAAATCTGCTATGTATGTAATTAAAGCTGTAAAATGTTCAAAATGCTTTATTGCCAATGACCAGAATTCACTTGAGGACTTATGTCCTTAATAAGTGTACTTAACATCTTTTGGAAATGCAATTGATGTTTCGCAATGTCTAGTCAGTAAGAGACTACTGTTACATTACTATGTAGGAGAGGTAGTAAAGTGAGCATTGTTCGCCCAGACCAATGCACAGTGAGATCCAGTATTCAATAGGACATTGCCAATGTGCATCAGAACACTTGTTGGTTTCCTATTATTCATTGTCACAATTCACTAACAGGGTTCTTTGGCACCTCTGTGACATAGCTAACAGTGCATAAAGGTACACAATATAGGCTGTGATAGAGGACGCAGACTTCTTTTTCTGATCCAGATATATAGTTTTAAAATAATTATTTCTTTCCTATGTGGCATTGGCTATTTTTCTCTATTTCCCGTTCCTTCAAAAATGGGCTATCTGGGAATCAGCCAAGCAATTTGAAGTATACATGGCTGGGCCAAGGAAGAACAATTGTACCTGGTAGGGTAGAAAGTACAATCTTCGTGCCTGGTAGGTCAGAAAGACAATTTTGCTGCCCTATCACACATTTATGGCTGAAATGATCCATTATCTCAGTAGGAAATGAAGATGCAAAAGCATTACGTAATAAAAGGGTAAAGCTCTCTTGATGGTCTATTTAAAAAAAAAGAGTCAGGATTCCAGTTTACATAAGAGCATCAGTGACTAAGAAACCATTTTTGACACAAACAAAAGTTCACCATGTTGCCCTAATTCTTCTCACTCTCTCTCTGACTGTTTCTTCTATTTTGTATAACAAGCTGTTTGTTAGCTGATGAGCTACAGTGGACTGAATGGCACTGAAACATGTTATTTCTGAAAACATCCCAATAAAAGTACAGAAAGAAAGAAAAAAAATAAAAATAAGAAAGAGAGAGAGTTTATTTGTTTGACAGACAGAACACAACTTGGAAAAGTAACTTCTTTGGCCTCTAACTCATCTTTAGCCAGCATAAGCATTGTCTGTGCTGGGTGGGCTTTCTAAGGGATGTCGTCTCAAAAATTGCTTTTCCAAGCTTTGAGGCAGTGGACAAAGTCCACAGAGAGCTGTTAGGAGATAGCTTGAGCTGCCCTTGACAAACACGATTGCCAACTTTTAACCATGACATCTTATCTCCACACATTTTTTGGCTGTGTGTTTTGTTTTATTGCGCATATTTGTTCCCCACCAGAGCAGTACGATTTGACCTGTACGGACGCAACTTCCAGTACCTTTTCTGGTGGTTCCCAAATGTTTTCAGCATTGACGTAGTCACCCATGTCTGGTTAAATCAGCTTCAGTTGCACATGGATGAACAATAAGCTCGTAGTGGAGAAATTATTTTCTTCTCCTGCACCACACATAATTTCTCCATTATGAGCTTGTTGTTCATCCTCCTACAGCATACATAATACATAACCCAGCAGCACAGGTTAACCCCTTGTGCTAGCAGGACTGAAGTCAGCAAGTCGGATGTTCAAATCAGGGGAGAGCGTGGATAAGCTCCTTCTATCAGCTCCAGCTCCCCATTTGAGGACATGAGAGAAGCCTCCTACAAGGATGGCAAAACATCAAAACATCTGGGCATCCCCTGGGCAACGTCCTTGCAGATGGCCAATTCTCTCACACCAGAAGTGACTTGCGGTTTCTCAAGTTACTCCTGACATGAAAAAAGCACACATAATTACATTAGGATGTTTTTCTCTAGTTTGTATTCAACCTAATCAAATATAATCTATCTGGAAAAAAATATCAGTAAGGAGCTTATCTACCTTGAGGGACATTTCTCTGCCAGAGGAGTGATCACGCAAAATCCACTTACATTGTCCTTGGTTCACCTTTGTGCCATTAAGTTATTCTGCTAAACATGCTCTGTGTATGTTTGTTCCAGGGCTATTTGTGGAGTTTATCTGCTCACATGCTCCTTTGAGTATACACAATCACTCCTGATCTTAAGAATACACTTAGGATAACAAACAGTCCAAACCACAGTGCAGAAAATGGGATTTATTGTGTTATGCAGCCTTCACACATTTGCATACCAACCACGAGCTATATCTATTAGTCCCAAATACTAATGCTAGTTTTCTGTGAGAACAGTACAGCAATTTGTCTTTGCTAGTATCTTGTGTTTTCTCTTTATGAATGTGTGTATATGTATCTTAATGTCCCCAGGTAAGTTACATTTTTTTTAAGGTTCTTGAGCAATAAATACGTATATGTGCCAATTCCTTCTTCTGAAATAAAACCAACAGCATCCAGTATTCATTGAAAGTCTTCCATTCAGGTACTAACCAGGGATAATCCTGATTTGCTTCCAAGGTCAGACAGGATGTGCAGCTTTTAGAACAGTGTTTCTCAACCTGTGGGTCCCCAGGTGTTTTGGCCTACAACTTCTAGAAATCCCAGCCAGTTTACCAGCCGTTAGGATTTCTGGGAGTTGAAGGCCAAAACATCTGCAGGCCCACAGGTTGAGAACCACAGCTTTACAGTGAACTCATTAAAGTGCATCTCTTTCAGCTGATAGGTCATAGAGTGAAAATTGTCAATTTTGACCATTGCACATATTTCATAGTTATTATTGCACTGTAGTTAATCTCCAAAGGCTTGACCCCAGAGCCAGGTTTTAGCTTTCCTTCTGAAGGCCAGGAGAGAGGGAGCTATTCTAATATCACTGGGGAGGGAGTTCCACAGCTGAGGGGCCACCACTGAGAAGGCGCTGTCTCTCATCCCCACCAGATGTGCCTGCGGAGGTGGCAGGACTGAGAGCAGGGCCTTAATCTCTGATCTTAATCTCCTAGGTGGCAGAATAGACATATTGAAATCAAAAGAGTGCTTTGGCTGGACAGGATGTGGCTCAAAGGAAATACCTTGTTTTTCTATGAATTGTTAGATCTTGGGCAGTTATTTAGGAAAATTCCTTTGGCCATTCCTTCCAGCAATAGGATTCTGTAGGCTTGTGGTTAGCTTTCATTTCTACAGAAGGCTCTCTTGATATGCTGTGACAATGCACTCTTACTACATTTCTGAACTTTGTTTTGTCTCCTGATGGTGGAGGGGAAAGCGAAGATGAATGTTTGCATGCATAGAATTAAATTGAAGGCTAGCAGTTATCTTCCTGAGCAAATTGAAAACAAAAGGAGAATCCAGGTAGAACTGCGTTGTAGAAAAGCATAACCAACCATTGCTCTGGCCTTGAGTTTAATGTGTTTTATCAGTCTGCTTAGTCTTTGCAATGAAGAGCAAACGACAGCAACGTTTGAACTATACTAGTTAGGGAAAGTGTGGTTTCCTTTATATACAGATAAAGATGAAGCGCATTGGTCTGTAGCAATGAGATATCATACTTATGTAGGTTAATGTCTTGTTTTACAAGGGACAATCCTGATTTCTTTTGTACTGTGACAGAAAGACAAGTCTCGGCACAGAAACATGACTTTTTATATTACAATTTAGAGAAATCTCCAGCTTCCATTCAAAATAAAATCCATTAACCCTGCTGGCTAGGAAATTCTCAGAATTGTTTTCCAAAACAGTCCAAGCTCAGTCATTGCCCCTATTATTGTTTCACATGAAAAATAAGTGCTGGTGTTTTTCTTTCCCTACAGTATATTCATTCATCAGGCATAATTCATCGGGTAAGTGAAATTACTCATTTCAAGTTTTTCTGTTTGTATACGTGTTGTATTAATATTTTGATCATTATTGTATTTTAATTGCCTTTAAAATCTTTTTAAAAGAATGTTTTGGTATGATTATTGGTTTAGTTGTTTTTAGCTTGACTCTCCCAATATTTTAACTGTATTTCTTATTAATTTAAAGTTTTTCTGTATTGCTTTCCAACCCACAAGAACTCTCTAAATCAGGCATGGGCAAACTTTGGCCCGGCAGGTGTTTTAGACTCCAACTCCCACAATTCCTAATAGCCTTAGGCCTTTTCCTTTTCCCCTCTAGGAGATGAACAATTAAAGCCGTGCAGAGGTGGAAAACCTTTTTTTAAAGAAACTTATTTAAATACATTTTAAATATTTAAATTTAAACACCAAACACAGCATTGCCCAAACATGAATCAAGAAACATGAAAGGCACTGCAGACTAATTCAACCAGAGAAGGCAATCATAGCAGAGCACTTGATGAACCAACCTGGACATAGCATATTATCTGAGGAAACAGAAATGCTGGACCACTCTAACACCCACCATGTCAGACTACAAAGAGAACCCATTGAAATCTATAAGCATCTGAACAATTTCAATAGAAAGGAGGAAACCATGAAAATGAACAAGATCTGGCTACCAGTATTTAAAAACACTGTAGAATCAAGATAATAAATAAAGACCAACATTCAAAAAACAGGAAAATACAGACAGGAAACAATAAAAAACAGCTAACACTTCCTAACAAAGGATTCCCCCAGGCAGGAAACAGCAAGGCTTTGAAGCTGCAAGGCTAATCAAGATGGCCAATTGCAGCATTCACACTTGCTTCACACAGACAACAGTTCTTTCTCCCACCCTGGACATTCCACAGATATATAAACCCCACTTGCCTATTTTCCAACAGACCTCAAAACCTCTGAGGGTGCCTGCCATAGATGCAGGCAAAATATCATGAGAGAATGTTTCTGGAACATGGCCATATAGCCTGGAAAACCCATAGCAACCCAATATTTGAATGCTGTTTTGAAAGTATCCTAAAAAAAACTCCTAAAATCCATTTTTAAACTCTTAAAATATTTTCAAACATTAAACTCCTTGCAGAACAGCACACGCTTGAAGCTTAAAAGAGCTAGGGCCAGCTTAATTTCCTTGGGTAGGGAGTTCTATAGAACTTTTGTGTGTGTGTGTTGTCAGGAACGACTTGAGAAACTGCAAGTTGCTTTTGATGTGAGAGAATTGGCCATCTGCAAGGACATTGCCCAGGGAATGTTTGATGTTTTACCAACCTTGTGGAAGGCTTCTCTCATATCCTTGCATGGGGAGCTGAAGCTGACAGAGGAAGCTCAACCTGATCTCCCTGGTTTCAAAACACTGACCTCTCAATCAGCAGACCTGCCAGAACAAGGGTTTAACGCATTGCACCATCGGGGGCTCCTAGTTCCACAGATGAGGTGCAGCCACAGAAGAAGCCTCATTATGTGTCCCCACCAACCTTCCTTCACAAGCTGTTTGGAAATGAAATAGGACCAGCTCTGAAGATTTCAAATGTCTAATAGGCATATATGAGAGGAGATGGTCTCAGATATCCTGACCCAAGCTGTTTGGAGCTTTGTAGGTCAAAACCAACACCTTGGATTTAGCTCAGAAGCAAATTGAAAACCAGTGCAGTTCTTGCAAGACCATTTTTGTGGTCTCTAAAATGCACAACTGAAACCAGTCTGGCTGCTGTATTTTGTACTAGCTATACCTTCCAAACATTCTCAAGGCAGCTGCATGTAAAGTGTTGTATGGTAGTCTAATTGAGAGATAATTAAGACATGAATCATTGTAGCCATATCTGCCTTCCCAAAGAAAGGGCATAGTTAGCACACCAAACAAAGTGAATCAAAGGCACTCCCGGCCACCGCAACAAACTGGCTTTCCAGGAGCAACATTGGCTCTGAGAGCTTTTTATATTACAATTACAAGTTATGAACCTGATCTTTTGGAAGGAGTGCAACCCTATCCAGTACAGGCTGTGATCCCAATCCTAGGGTGAATTTCCTACTGGACAATAGTACATCTATCTTGTTGGTAGTTTTTTTTCACTAGCATCCAGCCATTCACTGCATGCAGACAATGACAGCTTTCTTGGCATTAGTCGTAAAGGAGAGACAGAGCTTGGGATTATGGTACCCAAATCCAAAACTCTGGATGGCAACTCTATGGAATCCCACAGCCTGATTAGTGATTGGAGTTAGCAGGAATTCCCTGCAGTGTATGGCCAAAACAAAGCTGACAAGAGGAGTGGCATTGGTAGAAGTTACAGAGTTTATTCACAAAACTTGCAAGAATGCAATCTTGCTCAGGCCAGAATCTTCTCTCTCCTACTCTAAAAGGAGAATTGGCCAGAACAGGAAAATCTAGATCTCCTATTCTTGATATTCCTTGACTCCTTTGCAATACGTACTATTTATTATTGCCAGTATTGTGTTGTAAATGTCACAGTGTGAGCATTTCTTTGTAGTTAATTATCAAGAATGTGGAAGGGAGTAAAGAAGAGAACTCTTTCTTCAGTTTTCTCATTAAAAATATTATAATGAGTTGCTGAATATATACATATTGTTGTGTCTTAAATTATAAGGAGCCAAAGTTCAGCCTTTGTCACCATGCCTGCTCTGAACCAAACAAAGGTACTGCCTCAGTAGGAATGATAACAACACTAGCATGCTTGGCCTTTCATCCAGGTTTGACCTATTTGGGCTTAGCACTAAAACTAAAGAGGCATGGAGCTTTTCTCACAGGCCTGTCACAATTTTAAATTACTTTTCAGAATTTTATCTGCAAATTCAACAGGTTTCATACATTCAGTTGAAATACATATCTTGATGTTTGGCTTCTTTTAGTTTTCAGCACTGTTATTGCTTACTGCCTCTGTTTCTTTATGGCTCAGTTACCACAGGCATCACTCCCGGTGCTCTGATTTGGGCAACCATCCAGTTCATATGCATGCAGGCTGCCACTGCTTGTTTTTGGCTGCTTTTCATGATCTGCCTGAAATGTTGGCCTCATTTGAAAAGAAACGCTGAATATATTTAAAATTGCATTTGTTCTATCTAGAGATTATTCCGTTTCAGAGCTGTTTTAAAATATATGTTTATAGGACCTAAAACCTGGAAACCTAGCAGTAAATGAAGACTGCGAACTGAAGGTAAGAAATGTCAATGTCACAACCAACTTTCCTTATAATAACTGGAATTTGAAAGTATGTCAAATGTGGTGCTGTATCATGGTAGTTGACATCTCTACTGAAATAGTAGAATATTGTGTTCACAAATCTGACGTACATTTATTCAGTAGTAATGGCCCTAACATTAGGTAAAGTGAGGAAACTACCTCCTGAATGATCCTTCTGCACTTCTCAATCATTTCATTCTGTGAGGAGATAATGCAAGGGTCACTTGTATGTTGCTTAGCATATCCACAAAGCCTTTGTTTCCTTTGGAAAACTATGGCATGTTAATTGGTCTGATGTTAATAATTTAGATCCAGTTCAAGCTTAGAGTGTTCTAATGTGATCTTCCATTTTGGAAGAAATTTTATAATACTAGAATTTAGAAATACCTAAAACCGTTGTTGAAATCAGCACTGTTAAGAAATCACTGCAAAGCAAAATAGATTTAGCAAACTAACATAAGTTGCTAGTTTTGTCCGACCACCTTGCATATTGCTTTAATTTTTGCTGCAGCACCTTCACTGTATTTGAGCTGCCAAGCTACTATGTATATTCCAGCAAGGAAAAAGAGGAAGAGAATGTCAGGGATTAAAATAATATTTGTATCTGAATGCTAGAAACTGTAGCAGCCAAAAACAGTCAAAGAATCCCAAATAGACATGTTGTCTGACAGGTGAATATTATGGAACTCGAAGATTCATATAAGATCGATATCGACTATATTATTTTAACTTTTTTCATGTCTAAAAAAATCAGTGTAACTTTAAAGTTTGGCACAGGATTGGATCCAGACTTAGCTGCTTAAAATGAAGCTATCTGGACTCCTCCAACACTTCTCTATATGGCATCCCTTGTAGACCCTTTAAAAAAGACGGCAAGATCCTGCTGTGTAGGTTATATGTGCACCCCTCTCAAATCAGCCAGGTACTTTGTTTCTTCTGATAGAAAATACATTGCCAGGCTTTTCACAGAATCCCTTTTCCTTCTTAATTCCAGTATCACAGGATACCAGACCGGGCATTAGCAGAGCAGGTTAACCGCTAGCTGCAGTAAATCTTGCCAATCAAAAGGTTGAAAGTTTGAAGCCCAGGTTGGGGTGAGCTCCTGGCCTTTAGTCCAGCTTCTGCCCAGCTAGCAGTTTGTGAGTAGATAAGTAGGTACCGCTTTAAAATAGGGAGATATTTAAGGCACCCATAAGGAAATGCCAGAAAATGTTTGCAATTCGATCAGGGAGGAAGTTTACTAACAAAGCTCTTCAACGGGAAAGATGGAGCGACAGCACCCCCATGGCCAGAATCAAGCACAACCTCCAAGATGCCAAAGATGGGAAAGCCTATATATACCTCTGTCTGTGTACAGTTGTCTGTCTAGTCAGTTTATAAATGGCATTGAATGTTGCCATATATGTGTTCTGTGATTTGCCCTGAGTCCTCTAAATAAATAAATAATCCTTATGAGACATTGCTGGAGAATCTTCAGGGGATGCTATGAGAAAGACGGAGAGGAGATATCAGGTTTTACCAAATTATGATCCAGCACAGTATTGCAACTGGTTTAAGAAAATCAGGAGACTCAAATACCTGAAAGTGGGCAAATTAATTTTGTTAATCATTCAATTGTAACAGGTTTTTAAAAAGATGATGATGATAATTTTATTTCTTACTTGCCTCTCCCCACGACTTGAGGTGGGTCACAATTAGACGTGAATTGGATATGTTTGTGATGCCCTCTCTGATTGATATGCCAATAAATAATGTGCCATGAATAGGCTTTTTCAGAGCAATGTTTTGTTACTTCCAAAAGTGCCATTTAACATAAACAAGGACATCAAAACTAAGTGGACAGCTGCATTTCTCTGAAACAACAGCTCTTGTTTCAACACAAGTGATTCTTTGGATAGTGCTGAAACTCATGTCAGGCACAATGAGTGAGCATTATCTCCCAGTATATGTTAGGGAGGAATGTATAAGTGAAATAGCTATTTCCTCGTGGAAATGAAAAATTATAATGTAATTTGGTGAGAATAGAGGGGACCAATCACTCTACTCCACATTCCCCCCCCCCCCCCCCCCCCCCCCCCGGCCAAGAACTTCTCTTCTTCATCATTCATGTGTTCCTATGAAAGGTGGCAGCACAGATCCTACCCTACCTTCTTAAATGTTCTTTACACAGAACATTTCTTTAAATTTGTGCACCAGCTGCGCCCGTACCTTGGGAAATCTGTCTTGGCCACAGTAGTCCACGCTCTGGTTACATCCCACATAGACTACTGCAACATGCTCTACGTGGGGTTGCCTTTGAAAACTCTCCAGAAGCTTCAAATGGTCCAACGGGTGGCAGCCAGGTTACTAACAGGAGCGGCACTCAGGGAGCATACAACTCCTCTGTTGCGTCAGCTCCACTGGCTGCCAGTTTGCTACCAGGCACAATTCAAAGTGCTGGCTTTAGCCTATAAAGTCCTAAATGGTTCTGGCCCAATATACCTGACCAAACATAGGTCCTGCTCTTGATCCCGCCTGTGTCACAAATACGTTTGGCAGGAATGAGAGACAGGGCCTTCTCAGTGGTGGCCCCTCAGCTATGGAACGCCCTTCCCAAAGACATTAGATCAGCCCCTTCTTTGCTAGCATTTCGTAGGAAGGTTAAGACCTGGTTGTTCGAGCAGGCGTTTGAAAAGACAGTGTAACAAATATCGGAACAGGAACGACTGGATGATGAGATTGGATCTTGATTTTAACTAAGAGACGCTATGAATAATGTTGTATTGACTTTGTATGATTGCATATTGATGCCATGGTTTTTAATTGTTTAAATTGTTTTATGGTGTTAAGCATTGAATTTTTGCTACTGTAAACTGCTTTGAGTCACCCGAGGCCTGAGGAAAGAGGTATATAAATGGAGTAAATAAATAAATAAATGGATAAATACACAGTGTCCAATCTGCCTTAGGGCTTTTTGCTTTGTTCTAGAGGAAAAGCTACTGATCTGAGGTCCAGAGGGGATAATACATTGAAGTTTATGGAGTCATTTGCTACTGTGTTACTATGAGCAGTACTCCCCAAGTCCCTTACTCATGGCAGCACCACCAAATGTACTGCACACAGGGGAAAATTGTTAACCCCTGCATCCACTTTATTTCCCACATTTAGTCTTTCATTTTCTAGTACACCAAAATTATACTAAGGGCTCTTCTACACAGGCCTGAAGCCTGGTATTTCTTTCAGATTAGCCTGAGGCACCCAAACAATGGCTCGGGCTGATCAAAGTTTAACCCAGAGTAAACTTTGATTTCAGTAAGTTCCAGATCTTTGCAGATGTGAGCCCTGTGGGGATTGACCTTCGGGATTGCCTTCTGCAATCCTGAGGGACAATTTCCACACCATCTTGGTTTTTCGGGCTCCAGGAGCCTAAAGAACTGGAATGGTACTTCCACTCTAACCCCCCTCACCCTATTTTCTATCATTAAACAAGTTAAAAGAGTCATCATGGCTGGAGGATCCAAAGTGCTCAATTGGGAAAGGAAATGCTGCAACAGAGCTCATTTCCAAGTGCAATGGAGCTCTTTGAAGTCCCTAGCAATGATAGCTTTCTACTTTTAATGTTTTTAATACTAGAAAAGGGGGCCAGGAAGAGAAGGGGACTGGTATCCATACCACCCTGCCTCCCCATACCGATGCTGGTTTGGCATGAGAGGGAATGTAGGCACCTCCCCCAGCAAAATCCTATGGTTTGCAGCAGCTGTGTATCCTAAATGCACGCACATTTTAAATGCTGGTTCCTCTCTGGATTTTGCCCTGCCTAGAAGAGTCCCAAATATGCAATGACCATCCTCAAAACCAAAGGCCAGATCTGGCTTTCTGACATGTTTTTTGTCTATGTGCCTTGGAAATGTTACATGATGTGCTATTGCCATAATTCCTCAGTGGAACTTTTTCATATAGGGTGTAATAGTGTGATTACAATTAAAGATTGGGTCATAATGTCTTGTAATTTTTCTCTACTTCAATTAATGTTTTAAGGGATACAATGGCATAGTAATTGTCTATCCACAAGGAACAAAATAAGAGCATGAATCCATAGGTAAATCCATAAAGCAGGATGCAAAACTTGACTAGAAGTCTTGGGCCTTGAGCTTCAAGCATGAACCAGGAACAAGACAGGAGTTTCCCACTCCAGTTGAAATGTTGCTTAGTCTGAAATCCTAACAGCTCTCGCTCTCATTTAAAGGCTGCAAAACATGGACACATTCCTTGGACCTTGAGAGACCTGCTTCTGCCTCTCCTTCCCATGGCTTTGCTTGCACCTGAATTTACTCCCCCTCAGGAGCAGCCTGGTATCTCTGTCTAAGCCAGCTGCGTCTTTGGATGAGCTAATGTTATCCTTCCCTCCCTGCTTGTTGGCTTCCAAAGCAGCTTCATTCCTACACACAGAAACAACATCTTGCTCCAGAAACCCCTCCGTCTCCCAACTGGAGAACCACCTTGCTCCAAAAACCCCTCTGTCTGGGCACCGACAGAATCATCAGGCCCTGCACTCCAAATCCCTCATTGTCATCAGCTGGCTGAACTACAACACCAGAAGTGTCTTGCAGTTTCTCAAGTCACTTTTGACACAAAAACAATGGTATAATAAAATGACAAAATTAAATTATGCTTTTGTATTTTTCAAAAAGATATATATTCAAGCTATAGATAGTTGAATCCATGGATGTTGAATGTGTAGATATGTACAATATTAAAATTAAAAACATTTAGCTAAATTCTAAATTGAAACCAACCCCTCTTTCTTTGATAACTAAGCCTAGAATACCGCACGTGAAACTGGGGCATTCATCACCACCACTCAAAAATAGACTATAGCTGATCAAGAAATAGGGAAATAAACTTTGTAAAATGAAGGTTTTGTGAATGTAAGGAAATTTGAGCTATTGATGAAGTGTGCTTAAAAGCACTATTATATTGCTATGATGAGAACTTGCACGTCCCTCTCTCAGTGAACAGCGATCCTCCATAAGCCTATTATCTATGAAGAAATTGTAGTGTAAAGCACTGCTGTCAAAGCAAGTGGATGTTATTAACCTCAAGTCATTTTAGAGTGAAGTGTAGGCCCTGTGGAAAAATTACCACCTCTTAGAAAAGGGTTGAAGTGCTGCTGATTGCATCAAATCTCTAAATGTGATCGTACGAAGATATCATGTAACCCCATTAAAAATCCTTTCAAATAAATACTGCCTATTGTTTGGTCATGGTTTGTAAAGCACCTTGCAAAACAATGCTGACACCTCCAGACTTAAAAAATAATACTTTTATTTTAAATACATTTCCAGAAATTACACAAGAAAAACAACCCAGCATTAAGACATTTTGAACCAGAGAATTCAGTCATACTTTACAATCCAACATTCTTCTGCCTTTCTGCTGTAGCAAGAAAAGTAGCGTGTATCTGATGGTTTTGAGCAAAAAGATAGCAAGAAGCAGAAAGTTTAAGTAGTTATTCTTCCACTTAATGACTCTCATGGAATTTGGGGAGCTAAAGTCCAAAAAAGGAGAGAAACATTTCCAAATTCTGTACGAAAGATCAGAAAGTATCACTGATCATCCCTTACTGTTTCAGTATATCAGGTGAGTATTATGAGAAAACTCCCAGCATTTTTTACCATTGCTTATATTGATTAGGAGCCCCCAGTGGCACAGCGGGTTAAACAGCTAAGCTGCTGAACTTACTGATCGAAAGGTCAGTGGTTCAGATATGAGGAATGGGTTAGCTCCCGCTATTAGCCCCATCTTCTGCCAACCTAGCAGTTCACAAGCAAGCACATGTGTGTAGATCAATAGGTACTGCTTTGGCGGGAAGGTAATGGTGCTTCATGCAGTCATGCCACATGAACTTGGAGGCATTTACGGACAACGTTGGCTCTTTGGCATAGAAATGGAGATGAGCACCATCCCCAGAGTCAGACACAGCTAGGCTTAATGTCAGGGGGGAAACTTTTACCTTTACCTTTATATTAATTAGGGCTGATAATCCAACTATATCTGGACAGCTGTGTGATTCCCACTCTGGTTATGTGCAAATGGAATTTTATGCAAAGCTGTATTTAAGTGCACACAAGGCTTCATGAGTCCCCTCTGGATGTACATCTGAAAGAGACCTTTGCAACTTCTAAGATCTGTGATTAATGCACTGAGCCTTTTGCATCTGCTGGGTTTTGGTTCAAGAACCTCCCATGGACACTGAAATCTGTGGATGGCCAAATCCCCTGATACACAGTGGCGTAGTAAAATGGTTACCCTTACATAAAATGGCAAAATCACGCTTGGCTTATTGGGAAAAAATAGAATATTTTTAATCATGGTATGGTGGAATCTGTGGATGCAGAAACCATGAAAACAGATGGCTGGCTATATGACCCTTTCTGAAAAGAATCACAGTTTCTTTATTAAGGACTTCAGTCTTCTTTATTAGTTGCCTGAAATGCTAAAAGTAAAAGTTGATCATTGGAGTCTTTTGAAATTTGTAACAAAATAATTGTGAAGTTATAAGCTGCCTTTTAATTGATTCAGAGCCCTGGTTCATCTTTTGATTTAACTTCATTTCTTTCTTACAATTTAAAATGCAAATTTACCAGTTCCACCATTTATTCAATCAGGTATTTTCTGGAAGAAGGAGAAAAGTAGTGTAAGTAGCCGCATGAGTTAGAATTGAAGTGGACTTCAAACATCCAATTTATGGCTTTGAAGACCTTCTTTCACTTTGTCTGGGAACTCTCTTCATTTAGCACTTGAGAAAAATGTACTACCCAGATAATTTTAAGCTACATCTCTTCATATGTGTATTAGTTTTACGTCCGAATAGCAGCAATAAATTGCAATCCAATCCAATCCACTATATCCAGATTCATTATCTGATTTTGAGTCCCCTGCCCCAGTAAATCATATGTATTTATTTGCTCAAACAGCTGCTCAGTCCATTACTTCTCATTGAAGCACTTCAAAAACATTCTTGCATTATAACAAAGGATAATGTTCTCAAATCCACCCAAATACTTTTTTGATAGAAGTGATTTTAAGATGATTAATATAACTTCATACATTCAAGATTGGGAAATGAGTACAGAAGGGCTGTATACTCTCACTCTACCTGTTCAACTTGTATGTAGAACACATCATGTGATGTGTAGGGCTTGAGGAATCCAAGGCTGGAGTTAAAGCTGCTGGAAGAAACATTAATAACCTTAGATATGCAGATGATACAACTTTGGTGGCTGAAAGCGAGCTGGAGCTGAGGAGCCTTCTAATGAAGGTGAAAGAAAAAAGTGCAAAAGCTGGGTTGCAGTTAAACATAAAAAAGCCAAGATTATGGCTAGCAGACTGATTGATAATTGGCAAATAGAGGGAGAAAACATGGAGACAGTGACAGACTTTGTATTTCTACACACGGAGGTTACTGCAGACACAGACTGCAGCCAGGAAATCAGAAGACATTCACTTCTTGGGAGAAGAGCAATGACCAATCTCAATGAAATAGTAAAAAATAGAGACATCATACTGACAACAAAGATCCGCATAGTTAAAATAATGTTATTCTCATAGTAACCTATGGATGCGGGACCTGGACCATAAGGAAGGCTGAGCAAAGAAAGATAGATGCTTTTGAATTGTAGTGCTGGAGGAAAATTCAAAGAGTGCCTTGGACCGAAAGAAGATCAAACCAGTCCATACTCCAGGAAATAATGCCCGGCTGCTCACTGGAGGAAAGGATATTAGAGGCAAAGATGAAGTACTTTGGCTACATAATGAGAAGACAGGAAAGCTGGGAGAAGATAATGATGCTGGGGGAAATGGAAAGAAAAAGGAAGAGGGGCCAACCAAGGACAAGATGGATGGATGTTATCCTTGAAGTGATTGGCTTGATCTTGAAGGAGCTGGGGCTGGCAATGGCCAATAGGGAGCTCTGTCATGGGCTGGTCCATGAGGTCACAAAGAATCGGAAATGACTGAACGAATAAACAACAACAGTCACCTTAACCACCCTTATTAAAGGTCCAGAAATGTTGAGGTTATTTGTGTTATCTCTGTACAATTAGATTTGTCCTCCTTTCAACTCTATATGAAAAAGATGACATGGATGAATCATATCTCTCTAACATATTCTATATCATAGGGTTTTTGAAACCATCCTATTAAATGTGGCAGCATTCAATTCCATCAAAACAGTAGGTTATACTGTTTTGCTTGTACTGACAAACTTGGAGAAATCTTCATGGACTGAAAAATAGTAATCCCAATAGCTTCTGTAATAAACGTTCATGAATCCTTTTCCCACTTCTGTTTAATTTCTCTCTCCCTACCACCCTCTGCCATTTATCAAGGCATTTACCATAGCATAAATCTTAGCTAATAGGTCTTGAGAATTGTCATCAAAAAGTGCTAATTCCCATAGCACTAATTTCTCTTTTAATTTACGTATTCTAATGGTTGATCCTTGATGTAGAAAACAGATGCCGGGAGAAAGCCCTGAAACTAATTAGGTTCTGAAACTTTCCTTGATCAAGTGGAATGAGCTCTCAGAAAGAAAGAAAAAAGCAAATTTGAAACTTAGTGTCACACGGCAGCTCAATTCTGTCACCAGCTTTATAGTTGAAGAATGTAGAAATCAAGTAATATATATGTTATATCGGTTACAGGGACAAATCATCAGTGCAATGTGTTCTGTTTTCCAGATTTGCTAATCACTGACGTAATTCGTGTTGATTTCAGTAAATCTGCTCCATTTATAAGCAATGCAAGATTCAACTTTATGAACAATTTGGAATTGTAAATTGCAATTTGTATTTTGGTTGCTCTGTAACAGATTTTGGATTTTGGCCTAGCAAGACATACAGATAGTGAGATGACTGGCTACGTGGTCACCAGGTGGTACAGAGCCCCAGAGGTTATACTGAATTGGATGCATTATACACAAACAGGTACATTTTGTGGTTGTACTAAGATTAATGCTAGTTTTCCACAATGAACGTTCTCCCACTGCTGTTTACAAAATCTTAAATTGCTTGTTTCCAGTTGCATTGGAGTGACATCACTCCAAAAGGATATACTATGCTTATATTGGTTTCTTCATTCAACCATCCAGACAGAACACTTGGTATATTATCAAATATTTCCTGTTGTACTTATTGTGCTTGTCAATCTACATACAAATTCCTTTATCAAAAAGGAAGGTAGCTAATGCTATCAAGCTTTATATCCCATGAAGCCACCAGCAAACCAGATAGGCTTTCTGCCACCCTTGAGTCTTTCATCTGGGATATGTCTTAACATAGTTCTTTGGGGATTATTCTACCTTCTCATGGTATCAGTGATCTTTATTATCTTCTTACATTAGTCTGTAGTGAGCTGGTGTCCCTCACATGTATTTGATAGACCACAACTCTCATCCTCTCAAGTCAGAGTGACCAACTGTAGTGCCACACTTGTGAAGAGTGTGGTTAAGCCAGGCATGGGCAAACTTCAGCCTTCCAGGTGTTTTGGACTTCCATAATTCCTAATAGCCTACCTGCTGTTAGGAATTGAAGTCCAAAGCACCTTTGGACTGAAGTTTGCCCAGTGCCTGGGTTAGGTGAAGCAGCTAGGACAATGCAACTGCCTCACTCATTACCCGTTTCTGCTGTTCATCCCCATGATCCATCTGTGTAGTTTCTGAGCAGTCAGTGATTCCAGGTTTTAACTAGTTTGGGTGTTTAAACTTGGGTCCTGCCTCTAAGACATCCCATTTTGAAAATGCTACTATTCCAAAAACTTGGCGGGTAGTTGTGGATCAAAATATCGAATACTTCTGGCTTTAAGCATTTCAGATAAGGGATACTCAACCTGTGTTACAGTTCTTAATAGTAACATGTATTTAAATGATGCTTCTTGTAATAGCATTGTTTCTTTCTGGCAAAGCTGAGTGTCTTGCAGTTGGATAATTTGTGAGTTCAAACAAACTGCAATCAGTTGCACTTGATTCAGAGAAATGGAAATTTTACAAGGGTCAGCAACTGATTGCCAGATGGATCTGTAATGTGTAATTTAATGTGTAAATTCTAGTTCTGTCATACATTGGTAGCCTTAAAAATGAGATTGATTTAAAAATGACACCTTATATTCATAACTAAATTAATAACAAGATTTAAGACAAGAAGAAAACAAGTCAGTGTTCAAAGAAGCTCATATTAAAACTAATATATCATCAAAAATGCAGGCAGTTCTCATTCAATGAAACTTATTAATAACATACTTTATTTAACAAAATTTGATCTATGAACCATTTAACTTGAGTTTGTTTTAGACCAGCAAAGTTGACCAGAGTGGGATATGAGAAAGTCAGAGAAATAGAAAATGAAATGTTAGTGTCATTTATGTTCTTGCAAGGTTTTAAATTACTAGGCTTTCTTTAAACTATGAAAATAAAAACAACAGTAAACAATACATAAGCCCCTTCTACACTGCCATATAATCCAGATGAACAAAGCAGATAATCTGCTTTGAACTGGATTATATGAGTCCATGGGCCCTCTGTTGCACAGCGGGTTAACCTGCTGAGCTGCTGAACTTGCTAACCAAAAGGTTGGCAGTTTGAATCCAGGGAGTGGGGTGAGCTCCCGCTGTTAAGGCCCAACTTCTGCCACCCTAGCAGTTCAAAAACATGCAAATGTGAGTAGATCAATAAGTATGTCTCTGGCAGGAAGGTAACGGTGCTCCATGTAGTCATGCTGGCCACATGACCTGGGAGGTGTCTACGGACAACACTGGCTCTTCGGCTTAGAAATGGAGATGAACATCACCCTCCCCCCCCCCCCCAAGAGTCAGCCACAACTAGACTTAATGTCAAGGGGAAAACCTTTACATTTTATATGGGTCTACACTGCCATATAATCCAGTTCAAAGCAGATAATCTGGATTTTATATGGCAGTGTAGAAGGGGTCTTTGATGTAGTGTTTCTACTTCCCTTTTAAAGCTATTGCTTTTCTTTCTGAATAAACTTATTTTAGATTTCTCATTTTTTCGAAACCCTTTTCTGTATTTCAGTTGACATCTGGTCAGTGGGTTGCATAATGGCTGAGATGATAACTGGAAGGCCACTCTTCAAAGGCAACGATCGTATCCTTTCATAGGAATGTGTGGCATTAAGATGTAGAAATATTTTTCAATTCTGGTATCAAAGTAGGTGAGTTCCAAAATGCTCTGAGCAAATAGTCAGTTGAGCTAATTACTGAAAATGTCAGGCCAGTTTTTATTAGGTTTTATGACGTTTGCAAGGAAGAAAATGTAATGTTTGCTGCAGATGCTTTGCATAATTCAAGCAGGAAGAAACCCATATTTTGGGGCTATAATATTTGCCTTAAAAGGTTGACTAGCTTATACTGTGTCTTCTGTATTTTGCTGCTGGTTAAACTTCTTAGTTTTATATTTTGAAGAGAGCTTTTGTCTCTTTTTGTCTGTTGCTCTGGAGGCCCTGAAGTGCTGCAAAGTGATTTCAATAAATATAAATCTGTGGATAGAGTCTCAAATATTAGTCAAAGTCATTGATGCATGAAGGCCAAAGAAACTTGCCAGTGCTGACAATCTTCAAGAACATGAAATTAGAATTGGTTTCCAGAGAGAAATTTTAAATTACCCGAATCTTTAATATAGCTGTGTAAAATTTATATCAAATTCAGAACTTTGGTTAAAAACTAAAGCCAAAATGATTTCGTAAAGGTATCACTGCCCATCTTATACCTAACTCCCCCCGCCCCCCAGTGATTCCTAAGCAACTGTAGTCATTTCTGAGATGATACAGGAAGGAGAGTACATATAGATTCCACACAGAATTTTTCCTGTGGATTTTCCGGGCTGTATGGCCATGTTCCATAAGCATTCTCTCCTGACATTTCGTCTGCATCTATGGCAGACATCTTCAGAGATTGTGAGTTCTGTTGGAAACTAGGAGGATGGGGTTTATATATCTGTGGAATGTCCAGGGTGGGAGAAAGAACTCTAGTCTGTTTGAGACAAGTGTGGATGTTGCAATTGGTCATCCTGATTAGTATTTAATGGCCTAGCAGTTTCATGGTCTGGCTTTTTACTGCCTGGGGGAATCCTTTGTTGGGAGGTGATTAGAGAAGTCAGCCATAGTAGAGCACTTGATGAACCAACCTGGACACAGCATATTATTTGAGAACACAGACAATACTGACTAAGGATTTGACTCTTGACTTTGGCATTCAGATTTGGACCAGCTCACAGAAATTATGAAAGTTACAGGCACACCAACTCAAGATTTTGTTCAGAAACTACAAAGCCAAGATGTAAGTAACTCCTGTCATATCCTTTCTAAGAGTCATATTGTAGAACTATCTGGTGCTACTGGCTTTTCTGCATTTCAGACCAGTAATTGCATTCTTGAATGGCATGTATTGTGTGCTTTTTAAAAAACAAAACCTTACTGAACATTTAAAAAGTAGAAATCAGAGAAATCAGTCTTCCTTGTGTTATTGGCTTTCATCAGGCAGAATTTGACACGAGGAAGTCTACAATCCTTTTTTCATGGTGTTATTAGCTTTCATCAGGCAGCGTTTGACAGTAGGAATTCTTCAAACATAAAACTTCTTAGCGCGTAAGATGAAAATGTGCTGCAGTCCTAAGAGATTACATTTCTTTGTAAAAAATAGTATCATCCTATATTCAACAAAGGCATTTTCCATACAATTCCTGTTTTAGATCTTAGCTGATAACATCCCCCCTCAAGAGCTTAATGAGGGGCTTTTTTTGTTTTGCCATCTTGCCAAGGTCTCCATTTTGTCCAACAACGAGCAAAAATGAGACGTACTAATTTACTAGTTCTAATAATGAGGGGGGAATTTGTTTTAGGAAATAGCAGAATGTTATTAATTTTGTGAAAACAGAAATCTCCATAGCCGACCCTTTTGGAGATTAATTGGCATTCACACTATTTGGAATAATCATAAACCATTTGTAAAGTATGATCTTCCTGAGAAGAGTTAAATGCTCATTGGAGTGAATCTTCTTCTTAGTGGTAAATATCCACTAATATTCATGCAAGGCAAATTATGTTTCTGAGGCCCCTTCCACACAGCTGAATAAAATCCCACATTTTCTGCTTTGAACTGGAATATATGGCAGTGTGGACTCAAATAACCCAGTTCAAAGCAGATATTGCGGGATTTTCTGCCTTGATATTTGGGGATATAGGGCTGTGTGGAAGGGCCCTCGGTTGTTAGACTGATATACCTGTTTATCTCTCTGAACTGTTAGGAACAAAGATACGCCAATGCACAAAATATATAGCAGATCTTCAGTAGTGTTATTGCCCAAAACATCTACTCTCCCATAAACATCTACCCTTTTAAATCATGCTCTCAAGAGACCAAAAATAGGTAGCCTTCATTAAAAGTAACGTAGTTGATTTACTTACAAACTTAATATATTCAGCATACATGTACATTTCTTATTACTTGAGAGTTTAAATGGTAAGTTCTGTCAAGCATTCTGTTCCAGTCTCTTCTTTGTTGCATACAGACTAACACTCTCTTCAGTCTAATACATTACTGAACATTGACTCAATACAGACATTACACACTGCAGCATACTGACACTACTGACTTCTGATACTGATAATTGCATACAATGTGCTGATGGACTTCTCAACTGTACTGACTTCTAAGCTGTACTGTACATCTGATGCAAACTCCTACATCTAAAATGGAGTCTCAGTCTGAATAGTCCCAGGTCTGGTCACATGGTCTGTACTCCCTCCCACAACCCCAAACAACATAGAGTTAAGGAAAAACTGCATATCAAAATATACATAAATATATATTAAGCAATCTGAATTATATACATAACAAATAACTAGTCTAGAAGGCTTGTAGAAGTTTGCTATTTACAACAATTAAAAGCAGAAGGGTGCTTATGTAACAGCATTTAAAAGGAATAGAATAAATAGAAATCAAAGTCAGCATGCAGTGAGTGAGGTTTGTGGGTTAATTTTTCTGTCTCTTAGTTTTGTTCTTATGGTGTAGGTGTGTGTCCTTGTTTGTTTTATGTTTGTTAAGTAGTTCTTTATTTTTTTTAAAAAATACAAAAATTGTAATTTGTGTAAATATGCTTTTGTTTGTTTTTCTTTTTGTATTTGAATAAAAAAAATAAGGAGTGGAAAACCAGTGACTCTCCAGATGTTGTTGAAGCAGGTTCCATCATCCCTACTCATTTGCCATATTGAATAACAATGATGAAAATTGCAATCCCTCAACACATGTTCTAGTACCTATGCACTAAACCCACTCATGCCCGACCCAGAATAACTTGACCATAAGAGACTATATTCAGTTCAGTTCAGGGTATATAAGTCAAGCAATATAATTTCAGCACAAAAATATATGATGTTTACCTCTAAGAGTTATCATATTCAAAGTACTTTAGCTGGGATTCTGCATTAGGCATGCAAAGCATAATGTTATTTTATTTATTTATTTATTTATTTATTTTTATATCCCACTCTTCTCCCACGGGTGGGACTCAAATTGGTGAACAATTGTAAAAAAAATGACAATATACAAAAAACAGAACATTATCACTCTAACCCAAATATATAAACAATAAACCAACACACTGCATTGACACACTGAAGAAAATGATCATTACAGAAATTGACTTGCATGTCTTTGCACTCATCCTTTGATGCACTTCTCCTGACCTCAAACCTTGAATTCATAAATTGTATATATACAGCCAGGAGTGCAAACTCTTGCTTGTGGCACCCATACAACTTGCTATTCACATTATGTTCATTGCCACATTAATATTTAGCTTTAATTTTTCTTATGCCATGTGATGTCATTAGCATGAAAATGTGTGAGAGAGCCATGCTAGTGTGTTTCAGTATAAAAAGAAGGAATATTGAAGCATATTAAAATGAATTTGTTTCAGCCTCAACTTTTGTTGACTCCAGTTCATTTCTTCAGAAATTGAAGTTGAAATAAATGAGTTTTTTAAGCGCCACGAAATGTCTTGTTTGTGTACCAGACAGTCTTTAATAGCAACTAACTGAGCCTGAACGGAATCTGAACACAATCAATTGCTGTGAGACTGCCAAGCATCCCTAAATAAATGCATAGATAAATGTATTTTCCCTATTGTAGAGACTCTTTTGATGTTTTTGGGTTTCTTTCAAGGCAAAAAATTACATCAAAAGCCTTCCAAAAGTGCAGAAGAAAGACTTTGCTGCCATCTTGAAGTACACAAATCCTTTAGGTAAGTAGATCTATATGAATAACACAAACCATGTGTGAACAATTAGGATAATTGGTGTTGGGTACTTTATGCTTCCTTGCAGCAAAAATTTGCAACATTCTTGTACTTTTCAATATACAACATTTTCCCCATGACAATGTATCAGAAGTGAGGAGTGGTTCAAAAAAAGTATTCACAGTTTAATGAACAAGGCACAAAGAAATGTTGTCAGAGTTGTATGTGTGATACTGGGATTCTATACTTTCATCTTTCATATTTCTTTGAATTTTGCATGTAATGCCCCAGCGAGTAGATCTTCAGAGATATAATGTGATGCTATTTATAGATGACCTAAATGTTATGGTGTAGCTGTTTCATGTATTTCAGAGCAGCTAAGAATGGCTTTCTGCCTCCTGGTTGTGTTTGCTCCTTTTCCATCCCTTGCTGATGGCCCCTTGCTAGCCCAAAGGGTGTTACATAAAAATAAGCTTTTCCTGTTAGGTACACTTTATTGTAGAATTTATTAACTATTAGCTTAGGTACCTGGCATTGCCCAAGTTTTTAGAAGAAGTCTTTTACAAAATGCATAAGGTTGTGAGTGAACTACGATTCACATGATGCCAGGTCAACCCCCTGAACTCCATTGGTAGTTAAAGTTTGTCATGCCAGGCAAATTTGCTCTAGATGCATCATTAGTGGGGTTCATTATGCTCTCCAGCTACAGGATGAATTACAACTACCACCATGGCTGGTCAATCCTGCCAAATCCCTCCAGTATGTTCAGTTGGTAATGGGGGTTCTCTGTGCCAAGTTAGGTCCATGTCCCTCATCAGTGGGGCACAGAGTGCTCTTCAATTGCAGGTGAACTATAAATCCCAGTACCTACAACTAACAAATGTCAAAGCCAATTCCACCCCAAATCCACCAGTGTTCAAATTTTGACATATTGGGTATGCGGGCTAGATTTGGTGCAGATCCATTGTTGTTTGCATTGACAGTGCTCTCTGAATGTAGGTGAACTATAAATCAAGGTGAATTTTCCCCAAAGCCCTCCTGCATTATTTGTTGGTCATGGGGGTTCTGTGTGCCAAGTTAGAGCCAGGGCCATTGTTGGTGGGGTTCATGGTGCTCTTTCATTGCAGATGAACTGTAAATCCCAATACCTACGATGGCTATAAATCAAGGGGAATTCCCCCCAAACCTCTGCAGTATAAAATCTAGAATGATGTCGTCCCTGACTGAAGGCACTCCTTGAGTGGTGGGCAGTATGGTGTTTGGGAGGACATTGGCAGGAGTTGGGCTACATGTCCATGGTGCTTGCTATAACCTGAAATGTCATTGGAGGGAGGGCTTTTGGTGGCTTCTCAGCACTGTGGGTTAAAGCTGTTTGTGGAAGCGGGATTTTGTCTGTGGAAGTGGATACTCCAGCCACATACACATATACATATACATATTTTCACTTTTCTTATGTGTATGGATTACTTTTGCCATTTGAACCGCATGTGAAGAATCAGGTGGCCTCTGAAAATGCAGGGGCTACCCTTAATCTAATGAACTCCTATGATAAACACATTTATGAATTACTTGATACTACATCCTAAATCTGACTTATTACTAAATGACATCTTAACTGAAAATAGCTTTCAAAGTAGCCAAGTTCATCCTCCTCAAAGGTGGGGGAAGAAGGGGAGAAGAAAGGCTTTAATATCATTCTGACCTGCATCTCCAAAAATGGGTTTATATCCACGAAAGCTCATGCTAAAATAAAAACCAGTTGATCTTAAAGGTGTGGCACATTCCCTTTTCTTCTCCCCTCCCTTCCTTGTTTTTAATTGAAAGTGTGAACCTCTCTCGCTGGATCTAATGCTTGTGCTTGAATGTGTTATCTCTCCTTCACTGAGCCAGCAGTAAACCTTTTGGAAAAGATGTTGGTATTAGATGCAGAGAAGAGGATATCAGCCGCAGACGCTTTAGCCCATCCTTACTTTGAGGCTATTCATGATCCGGAAGAGGAAACCGAAGCTGAAAAGTACGATGAGACTTTTGATAACATGGATCTACCCCTGGATGAATGGAAATGTACGTTTGCTGTCATTCTGCTGTAGCAAAGTGTTGTGCTCCATAAAAAAAACTGTTACACTAGTAGGCTTTTAATTTTTTAAAATTTATAATAAGACTCAGGAGAGTCTAGAAAAGTGTTACTACAAATCTAAGCCTAAAAGTAGCATAATAGAACTTGGATTGCTTGGATACAGTGACAGTCTGGCTATTATTTTTTTCTCTTGCCTGCTGTAATGAGGCTAACCTTTGGCTGTTACACAGGAAAGAAAGCATTGTTATGTTATTCCAAGCTTGGTGAGATTTCAGTGTGCATTTTGTTTAATTCTCAGTTGTACCTTACTGTATGTGAACCATGCTCTATGTGGGGAATCTGAAAGAAGATGTGCTGGGTTCCTTCATTTGTAGAAAACTACATACCATTCACAGTTCAAATAGAATATTTGTGTACAAACTACAGACACCACTACTGTACTGGAGCCACTATGTTGTGGAGAACACGTTGCTTTTTCCATCATGTTTGCAGCTTGGGAATGATCCTGGATTCATTGCTGAGCCTGGAACCCCAGGTTTCAATGGGGTCAGGGGAGCTTTCACACAATTAAAACTTGTGCACCAGTTGTGCCCATACCTTGGGAAGTCAGACTTGGCCACGGTGGTCCACACACTTGTTAAACCTCGAATAGACTACTGCAATATGCTCTACATGGGGTTACCTTTGAAGACTGTTCGGAAGCTTCAATTGGTCCAATGGGCGGCAGCCAGGTTGCTCAGCAGAGTGGTGTACAGGGAGCACACAACCCTGCTGCCATGCCAGCTCTACTGGCTGCCAGTCTGCTACCGAGTCTGCACAATGCAGTCTGCACAATTCAAAGTGCTTGTTTTAGCTTATAAAGTTCTGACCCAGCTGACCTGTAGAGCTCTATGATCCACCTCAGAGGCTAAGATCACAAGCATGACTGGTGGGGATGAGAGACATAGCCTTTCAAGTGGTAGCCCCTCATCTATGGAATTCCCTCCCTAGTGAAATTAGATCAGCCCTCTCCCTCCTGACCTGCAGGAAAAAACTAATGCCATGGCTATGGGAATGAGCTTTTGGTCAGTAAGCAGCGCAGTAATAGACAACAGTAATAGACAACAAATAATGGAATTATCATTATGATTGGCCTTGGAATATGATCTGGATTTTGTGATTTTAACTGATGTTTTAATGTTTATGTTTTTAATTGGGTTGATTTTAATGTAATTGTTTATTACTGATAAAGGCATTGAATTTTGCCTTTGTGAGGCTGCCCTGAGAAGGGCAGGGTACAAGTGTGGAAAATAAATAAATAAATTCTCTTAGGCACCATCTGCACTGTCAAATAACATGGCATAGGAAACAGATTAGCCTGGGGTTTCCAAACAATGCCCTTGGCGAATCCATTTCAGCCAGGAAGAAATCAGATTTGTCAGGTTTAATCTATGTTTAAAAATACCTCCAAAGTCCTGGACTTTCCCTGAAAAAAAGTCTTTGGAGATATGGGGCCTGTGGAGACAGACACCTGGGATTGCCATCCATGATCTCAGCTGTCCATCTCCACAATCATCCTACCTGATTGGGCTCAGGAAACCTTGCAGCCAAGGGGGGGGGGGGGAGGCAGAGCCTTGAACCCTACCTTTCCCTTCCCTTCCATAGAAAGGAAATCAAGCCATATTTAGTCACCTGTCCATGCTATTATCCAGCAGCCCTTAATACTAGAAATTATGACTGTGATTTCATTTTAACTTCAATTTTGCCATGCTATCAGATGCTGGGATTTGCAGAATGGGTGCTTAGAATTCTCAGCCACACTACACATACCATGGGATGTTTTTATGTCCATAAAGTGGAATCATATTTTTAATTGCATAATGTGACAGGGCTTCGGGGCTGCTATCATTTTAGCACCTGACAGGATCCTTAATAACAACTGGATTTTCAGGCATTTGAATTCACTGCATATGCAGTGAAAAGTTTCCCTTCTTAATTGTTCTGCTGACATTAAAGGTGCAAGAATAGGCTTGCTCTTTTCTCCCAGTCCCTTGACATCTTGGCGCCTTTAGCCATTTCTCATTTCTTGTTGCATTCGAGAAGCTATTAGGGGATACTACCCTAAAATATAGCAGAACATCCAAAACCAAACAGGTTACCTAAATTGAACATCAGCTCATTAGCGAGCAGAGCGTGAAGTGGCAAGTAATGCATCTGTAAAGAATTCATTGCTTAGGAGGCAAACATGCAAAGTTCAATCTTAAAAAATCACAAAAGATTTATTTACAATAATGAGAAATAATTGCATTTCTTAATAATCAAAAACTGGGTCTGAGCTTCTCATCTCTTCTAATGTTTCAGGAGAGGGAAAACTCAATCACTACAACTCTCCTGACACACAAGCAAAGAGAGATCTCAAAGCACACAGCACATACTCTCCATACTAAAGCGTAAGAAGTCAGAAGTCAGATTCAAACATCTTGCGGTAGAAAATTATCCCTTTTAAACAACCAATCAGATTTTTTTTGTCGTGTCAGGAGCAACTGCTCCTGTTGTGAGAGAATTGGCTGTCTGCAAGGACGTTGCCGAGGGGACGCCTGGATGATTTTTGATGTTTTATCATCCTTGTGGGAGGCTTCTGTCATGTCCCTGCATGAGGAGCTGGAGCTAATAGAACCAATCAGAATGAGAGCAGAAAGAGAGAAGAATAAGATGAATTCCAACTGTCATTCAGGAAACCCTCAGACTATTCTAAGCTAACTAAACTGTTCCTCATTGAGGACTTGAGACTTGGGTAGTGTGGGGCTGAATCCCAACAGTAATAACAGGAAGCAAAACATTTTTTATAATTATATAACACTTACATAACATCATGTTATGTGACAACATAGTATTAATAATACAAATATTGACACAATAATATTAATTAATATAATGATAATTAATATTGGGTTATGAATGGAGGCCTTAATTTAAGAAAATATTGGGTCATATTTTCCCACAGTTTGTGATGACTTTTAGATGCAAATCCTTGTTTTTTCTGAATGTAAACATAATATATTTCCATTTTTTAAATCTTTTCCAGGTATCACGTATAAAGAAGTGATAAATTTTAACCCTCCGCCAACACCAGAGTCAAAAGAAACAGCAGTGTAACCACAAGGACTTTTTTTTCTCCGATATCAGATGAACAGACTAGAGTGTAAAGTGTTTTTATATATGTGTGTATATATAATTTAATTGTACAAATGTTTTATAAATAAACTGGATGTTATCTGTTTTAATCTGGATTGTAAAAAAAAGTTGTCCTTGTATTGTTTTCTCTTTGAACGACTGTCTTGATAAGTAGCATAGCGTGGTTATGTGTTGACTTTCCCTATAAACCTTTTATCCAGAGAGCCAGCATTGGTGGATTTGAAACCCTCATTGGCCATAGAAACCACTGGATGACATCTTAGGCAAGTTCAAAAAGGGAACATTTTCAAATTTCTGGCAATTGTTGCAGTTGCAGGTATGCATATTTTGCTTTTATTGTTATACTTAAAAAGCCCCATCTTATCTTGATGTGTATTCAGGTCTAGTTGCTGCTATCTGGCCCTCTTTTATAACAGAAGCACATTCAGCTGCTGTAATTACTCTCATAGCAGCTGCCTAGAAAAAAAATGTCATTGTAATCACAGGAATGAGTAGCAAGAAAAATCAAGGGGAGGAAAATACGATGAATTGTGGTCTGAATTTCCACAACCAAAACTTCCAGTGGAGATGTCTTAAAAAATATACTATGTTACCATTAGCAAACTACCCACTTTCAACATTCCTCAGATACATTTGCTTTCACAAGTGCACTTAATGCCCATAGTGAAATTACATCTAGGAACACATCTATATACCCCATGTACTATGAACTATATGGAAAAAAGTGGCAAAGACAGAAGCAAAGTAAACATGCAGCTGATCATGCCTCAAGCGCAGGAACTGGCAATGCTTATATGCACCAGAGATGTTGGCTCTGACCTGTCATATGAACATCATCATAAGTTTAAAAGACCATTTAAAAGAGACAAGTCGAAGTCCAGAGTCAGAATTCAAAATCCAACCATTGCCAACCACATGATTCCTTTATAATTGTTACTGCTGCAGCGGCCGCTCAAAAGCTTGGTTGCACATCCATGATTTCAATTTCTCCCTGAAGGAAAGGAGAGAGGGGACTCTATCCCATTCTTTTTTCTTTCTTTTCCTACTTAGCAATCTCTTTCCTCAATTCTCACTAAAAACCAAATACAAACTATTCCAGTATCTTCCTGTGAAATGTTTAAAAGAAGAGCTAAAAATAAAAATTGTTGGTCCAAGGGCCCCGAGGAACATTTGGCCAGGATTGGCTGCAGATACTATAAGAGACAAAATTGAATAAATGGCACATGGAGATGTGTATGAGAAAAAGGCTGCCCTGTATTTACTAAGCTCCCTTATGACCATCAAACACAGGCTGCCCTGTGTTTACTATGCTACCTTATTATCAATTTTCCGCTACATCAAATGTAGTGGAAGATGGTTGTTAATTGCCATTAAGTCAACATCAACTTATGGCAACTCTATGAATGAGAAGCCTCCAAGTTAGCATCAAAAGCCCTCTTCGGGTAATAAAGACTCAAAGCCATTGAATCCTATCTGCCTGAAATGCAGTCTTCCCCTTTTCCTACTGCCTTCTACATTGTTGACTTTTCTAGTTTTTTTGTGTGTGTGTGTGTGTCAGGAGCAACTTGAGAAACTGCCAGTTGCTTCTGGTGTGAGAGAATTGGCCGTCTGTGAGTACATTGCCCAGGGGACGCTTGGATGTTTTACCGTCCTGTGGGAGGCTTCTCTCATGTCCACACATGGGAAGCTGGAGTTGACAGGTGGGATCTTACCCCACTCCCCAGATTCCAACTGCTGACCTTTCAATCAGCAGTCCTGCTAACTCATTGCACCACCAGGGACTCCTGTCTTTTCTAGTGAATCATGCCAACTATATCATTGTTCAACGAAGTGCCTTGCATGACCTTCCATCCTTCAAAGGAACTTCTTCTTCAAATATTCACATACTTTCCACTGCAGAGAAAGGCAAATGCCTTGCTGAGAAAACTCCATGATAAGTTTGCCATGAATTGGAAATGACTTGAAGGCACACAATAGCAGAATAGGAAAGTGGAGGATGCTTTCTTTTTCCAATAATTAAAAATGACTCTATTCTTTTGAAGGATGGGATGTAACGCAAAGGATTTTGCCTAACAATAGGCATCTTTCAGTTACAAACCCTTCACCCACTGGGATTTTATGAAGCAAAGAATTTTGAAAACCGGTAGATCAAAAGTCACCAGGAGTCCTGCATACACTCTTTTAGGCATCCTTTTAGAAGCTCACACTTTCATCTATTTGTATATCTGACTTTCACTAGCGAGATTTCAGAGTGTGATTCTTCCTCCAAGGCTTTTTTGGAAGCAAGTGATGCTTGAAAGATAGTAAGACAGAGATGGGGCACCTTACACGAAGGGCACATTTATGCACAAAACATGTTTTCATGCTGTCCTCCTCCACAGTTGCCAAGTAACACTTCTGCTGCACAAAAGGCTTTTATGCCGGTACATGGGAATGACATTTCCACCTAGCAACCACACCTAATCTACAGTCTGTGAACAATGGATCTGTCCCTGGCTCTTTCATGTACATAGCTAATGAACGGCACAATTATTCTTTGGGCTCAATCTGGTCTAACCCTGTCAAGTAACTTCTTATATTTTGGGGGTGAATGGGAGTTTCTCCTCTTCAAATATTGCCAAATGCACCTTGATATTTCTTATACAAATAGAACTTATTTTTTGTGTTTGAACTTTAGTTGCAGTCCCCAAAATGCTATGATAATCAACTCCTACTTCTTCCTATTTAAATATTGCTTGTTACATTTTGTCTAGTGTAGAAAAACTGGAATTTTTTTACACTAAGCAGGCAAATGGAAATGCAGCTGGGCCATAGCTGGGCTTTAGCATTGGGCCAAGCTTTAGCATTGGGGCGGGCTTTAGCATAGCTGGCAAATCACCAGCAATGATAAGATCTACCAACCAAAAGGCCAGTTCGAAGTCCTGGGTCGGCATGAGTTCCCAACTCTCAGCCCAGGTTACTGTTTACCTAAGCAGTTTGGAAACAGCTTGAACTGTAAGTAGAGAAATTAGGTACCGCTAAAACAAGCAGGGGAGGTATTTTATGACACCATAAAGAAAGAGATCAGAAAACGCCCAGTGAAGGAGTAGGAAGCCCTGAAGGCTCTTCATCATAGATGATGAAGCAACAGCACCCCTTGTGACTGGATTCGAGCTCCAGTGACTGGATCTGAGCTCCAAGGTGCCAAAAAAGCTGGATGTCATCAACACAGCATACTTCTTTTCTGTCCTGTCTGTCTTTTTCCTGTCTATCCAAAAAGGCATTGAATGTTTGCCATGTATGTGTATTATGATCCATGCTGACTCCCCTTGGGGAGATAGCAAGGAATATAAATAAAGTGCTATTATTATTATTATTATTATTATTATTATTATTGCCTTGTCAAGATTTCTTCAGCAGGACGTTTGTCTTTGCCACTGAAGCTGAGAGAGTGAACGAGTTACCCAGTCACTCCATGACTGAGCGTGGATTTGATCCTGGTCTTCAGAGTCATAGCCCAATGTTCAAATCACTATATCATGCTGACTCTAGTTGGAAACTACAGTAACACAATTAAAGATCTTAAGACTTGGATGTTCCAATGTGCCTTTGAATAGTAGTTCAACTACTGATCAAGTCTGCCTAGCCCTCATCTTTTGGTAGGATCTCCAGCACTTTATTCCACGCCCCCGGTCTTGCAGTTTATGTTGCACTATCCCTGTCCCCTATTAGCCTCAAATCTGCACGTGCCCACTTTTCTCAGCCATTGGTTGTGTGTTTGGTTATGTTTTATGAAGTCTTAGATTTTATTAGTTTTATTGTTTTAATATAGTTGATTGTTATATGTTTTTAATTGTGTTATTTTGCAACCTTGTTTATATTCGCCTTTGTAAGCTGCCCTGAGTCCCTTTGGGGAGATGGAGGTGGGGTATAAGAATAATGGTTGTTGTTGTTGCTGTTGCTTTTGTTGTTGTTGTTGTTGTTATTGAGCCTCCAGTGGCGCAATGGATTAAACCCTTGTGCTGGCTGAACTACTGACCTGTAGGTTGGCGGTTCAAATCCGTGAGACAGGGTGAGCTCCCGTCTGTTAGCCTCAGCTTCACATAAGGGGACATGAGAGAAGCCTCCCACAGGATGGTAACACATCCAGGTGTCCTCTGGGCAACGTCTCTGCAGACAGCCAATCCTCTCACACCAGAAGCAACTTGCAGTTATCTCAAGTTGCTTCTGATCTGATTTAAAAATAACCCCATAGAGTTTTCATGACTGAACATGGATTTGAACCTGGTCTTTAGAGTCATTGCCTAATGTTCAAATCACTATCCTGTGCCAACTCTAGTGGAAAACTATGTCTGTTTATGTGCATATTTAATTAAGTAAATTAAAACCTTAGCAGGTTTGAGGTGAAAAGGCCTGATATTTCCAACAGAGTGGATTTTAAAATGCAAAATTGACTGTCTTATTCCTGAAGTTTGCCCTCAAAACTCAGACAGGAGCAGGATCATATTAATCCCACTTTTATTAGGACTAGTCAATCATTGAAAACTATTCACCAGCTTTCAAACTTTGCAAAACTCACCAGCTTGGGTGTGAATGATCTGAGGCCTCATCTACAATGCCATATAATCCAGTTCCTAAATCCAGATTATCTGCTTTGAACTCAATTATATGACAGTATAGACTCATATAATCCAGTTCCAAGAAGATAATCTGGACTCAGAAACTGGATGATATGGCAGTGTATATCCAAGTCCTCACCATTTGACAGATTGACTTGTGCTAATGGAACCTGGGAAGTCAATCATCTCCTAGGCCTGCTCTGTTTTAATCTGTAGGAGCTATATGTAACCTCTATATTTATAGTTAACTCATGTCTGGTTAACATGTGTGCATGCACAGATAGGATTCAAATGGGAAAAGTCATCTAAAATGATATGGAAGGATGAGATTTTTGTTATAATACTATGCTGACTCAACTAAACCATGCTACGTATAGGTTACAATGCTATGTTATCCAGTAGGGGGCAATATCATTCACTATGTTGTCAAAGGTTTTCATGGCCAGAATCACTGGGTTGCTGTGAGTTTTCCAGGCTGTATAGCCATGTTCCCGAAGCATTCTTTCCTG